TAATCATAAAAAAACACAATAAATTATTAATACACAACAAATTATTAATACCCTATAGAACCATAATTACCTTTAAATCTTTACTAAATGAAGACAAACTCGTTAACTACCACCCAAATGATAATAGTGGTAGACTGTGGTAGGTTGTGGTAGACTGTGGTGGTTGTTGTCAGTCTCTGTAGCCGGATACCTCACTACCGTTCCTCTATGGCGACTGGCTTTAATATATAACCCAGGGATATATATTACTGAGAGACACAGGAACATATTAACCTATTTAAATAAAGATCTATGTGTGTTTTATTATATTATTTAATTAATTTTTCTCTCTCAATGGTGTAAGAACTTAAGGTGTTCCTCCATACTCACTGGAACACTTCAAATGTCACCTTAAACCTGTACAGTCTATAAGATATTTAGTATGGTTAGGTTAACTTTGGCTAAATATATCTTTAAAGACTGTATGTCATAGTAGCATCTCATGTTCTCTATGAGGTATTGTTCATTATACAATAAATGGAAAACTGGTTTTTTTCTATCTGTCATGTCTGTCATAAAGTCTCCAATATTTACTAATGTAATCTTTCATCTTTTACGATTTCTTGGTAGTGAAGTGATTTGGTTCTTAATGGTAGCAGTCCAGTATCTATGGTCAGGGGTTTAATGGTAGTACTTTTCCTTTACTTTTATCCTCTTCACCACTGATCGGCTCATTAGCCGCCCGGGCAATCGGTCACGTCTCTGTCACGCACTGTTGGCAAGTACTGGGCATGACCCGGCTCCTGAATGTACCTGAACCTGCTCCAGTGTTGGTCAAGTCTTGTCTTGACACAGCTCACACTCGGTGCCGTCACAACACTCTCTGGTAGATAGTTCCAAGAGTTTACAACTCTCACTCCGAAAAAGTTTGCCCTCACAGTTTTCTGGACTTGCGGCTTCTTCAATCTTGAGCTGTGACCCCTTGTAGGGCGAGCGTCCGCCAGCTCCAAGTAAGGACACTCAACTGAGTAGTGCCCCCTGAGATGCTTATACACCTCAACTAGGTCCTCCCTTGCCCGTCTGTAGTATAAGCTAGGCAAGTTCAGGCGCTCCAATCTCTCAGGGTAGCTGAGGTGCTGTAGTGCAGGCACCAGTTTGGCGGCCCTCCTTTGGACATTTTCAACCAACTGACAGTCCCTAGCATATCTCGGGGACCAGATGGGGTGACAGTACTCCAGATGGGGAAGCACTTCACTCCTGAAGATCGTTACGAGGGACGGACTGTCTAGATATCTGAACGACCTTCTTATAAGACCCAATAATTTATTTGCCTGATTTACCTTCTTCTCACAATGGCCCAGTATCTTTGGTAATGGGTTTAATGGTAGTACAGTCCAGTATCTATGGTCATGGGTTTAATGGTAGTACAGTCCAGTATCTATGGTAATGGGTTTAATGGTAGTACAGTCCAGTATCTATGGTAATGGGTTTAATGGTAGTACAGTCCAGTATCTATGGTCATGGGTTTAATGGTAGTACAGTCCAGTATCTATGGTAATGGGTTTAATGGTAGTACAGTCCAGTATCTATGGTAATGGGTTTAATGGTAGTACAGTCCAGTATCTATGGTAATGGGTTTAATGGTAGTACAGTCCGTATCTATAGTAATGGGTTTAATGGTAGTACAGTCCAGTATCTATGGTAATGGGTTTAATGGTAGTACAGTCCAGTATCTATGGTAATGGGTTTAATGGTACAGTATCTACATCAGTATCTATAGTAATGGGTTTAATGGTAGTACAGTCCAGTATCTAGTACAGGTAATGGGTTTAATGGTAGTACAGTCCAGTATCTATGGTAATGGGTTTAATGGTAGTACAGTATCTATGGGTTTAATGGTAGTACAGTCCAGTATCTATGGTAATGGGTTTAATGGTAGTACAGTCCAGTATCTATGGTAATGGGTTTAATGGTAGTACAGTCCAGTATCTATGGTAATGGGTTTAATGGTAGTACAGTCCAGTATCTATGGTAATGGGTTTAATGGTAGTACAGTCCAGTATCTATGGTAATGGGTTTAATGGTAGTACAGTCCAGTATCTATGGTAATGGGTTTAATGGTAGTACAGTCCAGTATCTATGGTAATGGGTTTAATGGTAGTACAGTCCAGTATCTATGGTAATGGGTTTAATGGTAGTACAGTCCAGTATCTATGGTCATGGGTTTATCATCATTGTTATATCTGACGCTGTGGTAAAATGTGTTTTTTGTTATGGGTCGGGTTTCTTTTTTTTATTTGTTTCAAGTGGTGTTGTAGTAGTGCGTGTACAGTACAGTACCATTACAGTACCATTGTTTAGTTAATGGAGTACAGAGTTTATGTCAGGGATGGTGGTCTTATATAGGAGTTTTAGAAGTGTTAAGTCACAGATGCTCACCTATACTGTAGTACTTGGGTTTGATCTCTTTAACCCATTAATTATTCTCTTCAGTTCAACAAGTTAAAAAATCTCATGCGAGTTGTTTCCATATTAATGTAGGTTAATAAAAAACAAACTTTTCATGGGAAAAAGGTTTATGAGTTATCTTAGTTTATTAAACTGTATAACGCTCATGAAATACTATACAGAGCAATCATTGAATAACAGCTGTTTCTCATAACAAAATGGATTAAATGCTTATAAAATCACATTGTACATGAAGCTGTGACCCACAAAACTGTCATCCTATGTGGCCATCAAACACATGACTGGTGAGGTAACTATATATTGAGCCAGCTATTGTCTTACTCACACAGCTGGAGTTAATAGAGGAAAGGCTTCATCAACCAGACATCACAGTCAACAATGGTGGTGTGGGTCTTACTATACCAACGTAATTGTCTGATAACTCGGGTCATGTATATTTACTGATGTTTGGGTTGATCAAAGGTTTTATTTTCATCTGAAATCAGGAATACAAATCTTGTACGGTCACATATAGTTTTAACCTACCTGTACCTAATAATGATCCAACAATGTGACAAATGTTAACATACAGTATTGTGGAGGGATGCTGTGTGTGTGTGACCAAGTATAAGTGAGGCAGACTCTCAAGGCCAGCATGTGAGAACTAAGGATTCTTCTTGTGTACAGTACAATATGTGTCAACGTATAAGAGTGAATACATTACTACAGTATGTGTGTACAGTGTTTCTAATTGAGGACTAAGCCCTTTCTTGTGGCAAATAACACTTCACTTCATACAGCCCAGACACTAGTGAGAGAGGTATAATGACAACACACACCCAGGGGAGGAACCAGTTATACCTCCTTAATGGGAGACATTTACAACCCTTCTTAATAATTCATCATGGAATTTGATAATTTAATCTGTCAGTGACAGTTACAGAAAGAGTCACACATGCCAGGCATACATGAAGTCACTTTCATAACAATAATGACAATTAAATGAAATATGTAAATACTGTATAACATTAACTGCTAATGCTGGTAACTGGTCCAGAGAACATTAGTTTACCATGGTGAAAACCTGATGATGCTCATCATTTGTTATTTGTAAACTCTGATCCTGCCACCACCCACAGTCTGGATATTTGACTTTTTGTTTTGTTTTGGCTCAAACAGAGAAAAGGGCTCTAGTATAATGTTTGCCTATACGGTAGTACTGTATAAGTAATATCTCCATTAGCCATAATCCCTCAAACCCGGAACTCTCCAATAGCCGGAATTTAAATTTGCTCAGAATTTTTCCAGAAAATTCCCCAAATTCTGAGGTTGAAAATCAGGAGCATTTTCTGAACATTAGAAGAAAAAAAATCTGTGTAAATATAATTATTTCTATAATGTACAGTCTGGGTCAAAAGTGTTGAACACTTGACAGTATTTGGCATGTAAGTACCTTAAGATCTTGGGTACAGTATTAAGGAGAGTTTTATCCCATTTTGTGGTTCAGGCATAATATGTGATGACAAGTAGTGTTACTAGTATATCCCAGTCATGTAACTCAGATGCCAGATATTGCTAATTGTTCAACACTCTTGACCCCGACTGTACATACAATACAAAAATAGTAAAATAATACCCGGTACAGTAAAAAAATCAAAGTAATTCTGAGCTGAGCTAACGAGGCGAAAGGTGAGGTGACGGAGTCAGGTGGTGAGGTGACGGAGTCAGGTGGTGAGGTGAGGTGAGGTGACATGACAAGACACACACATTAACAGCACTTTATAATTTCTATTTTAAAATTAAATGATACATGATGGCTCGATTTGGCTACTTTTGCACTTAGAAAACTGATCAATGAATAAACCAGTGATGTCACAAAGCTTTGCAACTGCAACCACAACTGCTGAGCACCCTCATAAATTATCACAACCTGTACTCAAATGTACTAAGTTAATTACTAAAATATTTGTCTAGTGCAAACTATGGGATGTTTATATATCACACCCCTCCCCCAAGAGAATTAAGACAGCAAGCATGAGGAATGAAGGTCTTATTGTGTGACAAATTTGCATGTGTGTGACTGCATGGTAGCGAGTTAAATATCAGCTGTTGAGGAGCGCTTGGCAACACTCATTTCCACTCCATCTCTCTCATCACCCACACCTTTCTGGTTTCTCTCTCCATATTTTATAATGTCACGTAACGTAATGTTGAAGGGATACAACTTTGCTCATTTATACTTATACTTATCACAATCTCCCTAAAAATACTTTAGGTTTTGTGTTTATTCAAGACATCTTCAGGTCATGAGACCCACTAATCCCCCACCCCAGAAAGGGTGACCTGACATTCCATCAGGTAAAGTAATATGAGACCACTAATCCCCCACCTGACACCGAGTCAGGTCAGTTACACAAGACCCACAGCTCCATGGGAGTGGAAAATAAGTCTTTGCTGTAACACACAGCTTCATTCATGACCATATCATATAGATTTTTTATTTTTAAATATATTTATTGAACCAAACTTTTAGATAAAGTATTATGGATTATTATAGTAAAGAAATGGAGTTTTTGACTTAATTTACGGACTCCGGTAGTTTAGACCCAAGGAAAACATCTCCAGCACCCAGAAACATTCTGGGGAAGTGGGCTGGTGTTCGTCTGTGCAAGATGTCTAGTTTAGACACTCGTAAACTTTTCCCAGTAAGTGGAAAAGATTCCGGGGATAAGAAATTTATCAGGATTTGAGAAAGCCGTCTGGTTCGCCGGAAATCTCTCATACATACAGTGTACACGGTAAAATATAATGACTGTATTTTATCTTGTGAATAAATTTTTGTTTGGAAACTTTCTGGCGAGTTAAATACTTGTGTAATAATATCATAGAACAACTCTTTTTAGTTCACCTAATAATCATAATTTTTTTAATTCAATCACTACAGACCAATCCATGTACTACAGTACAGCATCACCTTAACACATTGTCACAAACTTGACCTTAGCCCCCTTAAACAATTGTGAGTGTGGCCCTGGACACACAGATAGATGGATGGGTGGATAGATAGAAAAAATAGCTAGATAAATGTTTAGTGATGGGCATTAGTGGAATCATTCTACAAGTCATAGCTAATGTTTAAAGTAAGAGAGTAGAAGTGTGTTTGGTTGTCTTGTACTGTACAGCACTATGTGGCCGAGAGTGTGTTACCGTCACCACCTTGGTTAGTGTACCATCTGTGTGTGTCGTGCTGGTTTGGTTGTAATAACAGCACCATTTAACAAAGTAATGACATTCTTCTGGGTCATGCTGGAAATCGTGTACCAACTGTAGATATAACAAACACCAAAATGCTCAAACTATGTAGTGAAACCTCTATATAACGGACTACAGTTGTATATGTAAAAGGTCAGTACGTTAGATCCAAGTCTGTTATATGGAGGTTTCATCGGATGTATAGTAGAAATTAAGTCCTTGTGTACACAGACCGACACGTGGCAGAACAGTGCATCTGAACAGCGGACGTCACCATCAACCCTCGGCCTGTGGGTGACTCCTCGTTATAAATGGATATCACTTCCCTGTCTTGAACCATTTAGGCAACTTAGGAACAGCTCCAGTAGTTCTGTTGGTCCTCTTGTTGTACACACTGCCATCACTTCTCTCTGTACTTGTAGACACTTGGGTTGAACTCACGACCTCGGGATATTCTGATGAAGACGCGCTCGATATTTGTCTATCTGGCCTGAAATTAGAGAGCCTCAATATACAGTAAGTATACACAGGAATTACATACATAGATTATATAATGTTATTATGGCTATTAAAGTCTTTATATTGGTGAGGTAGTGAGAGCAGAGGTAGACACAAGTGAGGGAGAGAAGTACAAGTCTGGTGAATCATGAACTCTGGGAGTCAGTTGTTGTGGATGATTCTGTAGATAAAGTTCAAAGTGTTAGTGAGTCTGGAAGTGTCTACTGTAGAAAGTTGTTAATGATTCTAAACAAAATTAAAGTGATTAAAATAATTAAAGATGGTAGATGACAGGAGGGATGATGAAGGAGATGGAAGGATGGAGTAGAGGACATGCTACAAGTGAAGGAGATGTCACAGAAATGACAGAGGAGAATATAATTTACATTGCTGGAATTTTTATAAGATAGTGATTAATTTGAATATAAACATGCTATAGTTTGCACTAGACAAAAATTTTAGTAATCATTTAGTACATTATTTTGAGTACATGTACAGTACAGCTTTGCCCTTAGGACAGTGTAGCATGCCCAGAGAAATATTAGGCGCAAAATTTTAAATATGATGCGCCAGATTGACTCGCGCAAAATAGGAAAGATTCGCTTTAAATTAAAACATTGTCCTTAATTGTGGGTGTCGCTTTAAATTGACGTTCTACTGTACAGAGAATCAATTTATCCAAATGGTACTGATTGATAATTAGTTTACCATTAAGTGACACTGACTATATTATGTGAAGCCTGACCTGTCTCTGAGGTAAGCAAAGATGTAATAGTTTGCTCACCTAGTTTGTATCACAGTACTGCAGGCACCAACAAATGACGACTTCTTTGCTATTGTGTCGTCACTGAGGTACGGTCCTCCGCCCGAGCACCCAAAATAGAGGCGAGCGTTGGGGACACAGTCGGCGGCAACAAGACTCGTATCGGCTGAAAGAACCTTCGGGGGATGTCTGGTGTCTGTAATGTGAAATAATATCATAACTTTCCATAAAAAGTCAAATAAAGAGACATTTTGATAAATTGCCATTATCATAATTAAATTCCTTGTGGTAGAGAAGGTTGAGTAACAATACAGGTTGACTCTGTAGCATCAAAGGTCTTAAAAACTGTGTTACTGTAACATGTAAAAATCTGCTCACGTGGAGGGGCCCGTGGTAGTCCTTCAGTTTGGTCTGGGGTTACATGGGATAATTTTCACACTACTGTTTGACTATGACTGTCATGGGAACTGTCAAGCTGGGCCCTCAGATTGAACATAGACCAACAGACTGATGTGTTAGTGTACTGTCCACTCCATCAACAAGGTTGTGAGCTCACCTAACAGTCTACAAGTTATACAGAGGATAGTGTACAGTCGGTACCAGGGGGAATGTCATAAGACCAGACTAGGGACTTTCTTCATACACTCAAGCTGTTTCTATTTTATATCATTTGATTTTTCTTTTTTGCAGAGAGACTTCCCTCATGGAGAGCTGTACAGTATAGTATATCTGCTTCATTATCTTCTAAAATATTTAAACTCAACTCTTATCCCTTTGTCCAAATTTTACTTGACTACACAATCATTAAAATTACTGAGTACTTTGGTCAGTGTACAGTACAATGTATGACCAACATTATTGAGTATTATTAACCCTTAAATGGTGGCAGGGACGACAGCCATTATCAGTGGACGACTTGTGTTCCTTGCATTCTCTTTTTGCACATATGAGGAAGGGGGGAAGCAAGACTTTGGAACCTGTAGTGAGAAAACAAAATCGTGAGTACTTACGAAGATTGAACTCTAGTGAAGGATCAGCAAGAAAAGGTCTCAAAAAGTTCATCACTACACCAACAGTGTCCATCGGTTTAAATGATGCCTGGATGATGTGACCGTCGGGGAAATACACTCGTAGACGCGTGACTGGGTACTTGTTGAGGGCAGAGAGGATCCTGGCACTCTCCTCCATCTTTCTCATCTCCTGAGTCATCATGGGAGCCTCGGACAGTTCTTGTCTGGACCAACAACAAACAAAATCACTCTTTGATAATGTTAATGTGGCATCTATGTTACACCAGTTTCCTTGACTCTATTATGGTAGACCCAGTTAACACCAGTATATAACACACTCACACTTAACACCAGTATATAACACACTCACACTTAACACCAGTATATAACACACTCACAGTTAACACCAGTCACATAGCACACTCAGTTAAGACCAGTCACATAACACACTCACAGTTAACACCAGTCACATAACACACTCACACTTAACACCAGTCACATAACACACTCACAGTTAAGACCAGTCACATAACACACTCACAGTTCTTTCTGTTGGTCGTGGTATAAATTCTTGACTTCATTTGCTGACAGTTCAAAGAAGGAGTCGTCTTCCTCAGCTATCAGGGTTGGTGGTGCATCTTCCACACTGAAGAGTATGGCATCGTTGGAATCAAGCTGTTGAACAGACACAGGTACTGTATTAAGATGCTATCCCATTATTATTATATGAGCAACTGTTATGACGATGTTCTTTAACACTATTGAGAATAAAATTATGAGAGACTTGAATTGTACTTCATAAAGTTGCTCCCATACACAGTGACTCAGAAAAATGTATACAAACTGCTTTACAGATCTTCATGGAGACTGTGTTAAAGTTTGTATTACAACACTAACACTGTCCTCACTTGTGGGAGACCTCAACCCAGAGGACAATGTTGCTGTTGTAATAAAAAAATTAAGGCCATCTCCATGAAAATCTGAAGGCAGAGTATATAACATTTTTTTTGACACATATTGTTTGTGTTCAGGGCTTTGAGAGGGAAGATTTATTGGACCAAACAACAATATATTCCTGAGTACAAGTAAAATCTAAACATTTAAGAGCTAATGAACTTAAAACAAAATAATAAATAATAATAATAATTTGGGTGATTTTTGACAACTATTCCCTCAGGTGACATTGACAATTCCCCAGAACCTAACCTAACCTAAAGTGCAGTATTCTTCTTGTGGCATTTTCAGTAAACTGCCAACAATCAAATAAAAATGATGCCATTACCTGTACAGTGTGTGGTCTATGGAGGATACCTTCAGTCTACCCTACCCGACCCTACTCTACCCTAACCTAACCTAACCTAACCTAACCTACCTTACCTTACCCTACCCTAATCTACCTTACTCAACCCTAACCTAACCTACCTTACCCTACCCTAACCTACCCTACTTTACCCTAACCTAACTTTCAAACAGTAAATCACTCCGAAAATTTTGAAAGCAATGTACACATTCTAAAACATTAGACCAATTGTACTGTAGACCACAAACTATACTGTAAATATGTCATAGACCACACACTATACTGCAGCCAATAGACTTAAGTTATACAGTATACATCACCTTTATGATGACTTTCTCTTGAGTGAAGACGGGTGACGGCTGAGGGTCTGTGGTGAAGCTTGATGAAGATGGTACACTGTGTCCCTCTATAAGATCCATTGGTACTGACGCCTCCATCCTCTCCTGCCCGTCTGAGTCTTGATAATGTGTGTCATGATATATATGTGTTTATATACAGTTTATGTTAGATAATATGTGTTTATATACAGTTTATGTTAAATAATGTGTTTATACAGTACAGTTTATGTTAAATAATATATGTTTACATACGGTACAGTATAAAACTTGTGTCTAGGTAAAATATCACCTTGGATAAAACAGTTTCATGGACCAGTCTCTCCATATACAGTACAGTAAACTCTTGATAACTCACAATTCGATATAACTCGGGACGGTAATAAAATATTTAAATAAATTACTCTTTTAATTATTTTTTACGTACACCCTCTACAAGATCTTGTATATTCTGAGATATGATGTGATGTTATCTGGGAATGTGGTAACACACTGCCCTGTGACAACTACACCACAGGTAACAAATGTTTATTCCCTTTATATTTTTGACTTTATAATATATTTTGTTTCACTTTCTGTATGAATGATAGTGTGTGCATGTAACAGAGTACCAACAAATGAAGAAAATTACATAAGTCTACCAGAAATTATGTGTTGAAAAATAACAGCTGTGAAATCCTAACTGTAGCACACTTCCTAGCCATTCACTGATAAAGATGGTACTGTAAGTGTTTACAATATATACAGAATTGTACTGTATATAGTGTAGTGTGGTGCAGTGAGCCCCCACTGACACCTACCACAAGCTTGAATTATCCTCATCCTTCACCTACAGTGCTGGTACTGGTAAGTGTTAATTTTTGTGCAGCTTCTTGATTATCATAGATTATTTTGGACAAAAAGTTGGGTATTGGGGCAGAATGAAAGACTGGGAGGTTTCAGTAGTTGACACTCACCGGTAACATCAGGCTGTGGTAAAGTGTTCTGCAACTGAACCACATCAGGAACCACACTCTGGCTGGAGCTCACTAGGTCTGGACTTTGTTTGGGGACGAGATCTACGGGGTGTTGCGGAAGTTGTTCGTGTGGCGGGGGAGGAAGACGAGGCCGGGCGAGAGGCTGTGTTCGTGGCCGAGGCTCCACCTGTGGCGACGGCTGTGGACTGACGGCTCTCGGCTCTACGCGTGTATTTTCGTGCACTGTAACATACGGGTGTTGTCTGTCACTCCTCGTCACCAATACCTCTCCTTATGTAACATACGGGTGTTGTCCGTCACCCCTCGTTACCAATACCTCTCCTCACCACATATTATACTCGGAGTTGCCAAAACATTATGTTAACAAACTACGGTGGACAGCCCTCAAAAGGCAGAGCAAACCTTAAATGAAGCCCAAATATTATGACTCTTACAGCCTCCTGTTTCACACTCCTATAACAATACAAAATATTAGTCACTATAAGGAGTTTAAATTAATTCTGTGGGTTAGTGACTCGGTTTAATAAGAGAAAAAGACGTAATACAAATAATGAGAGCTGAATTCTCTCCCCATGTGATAAAGTGAACACTATTTTTTTTATATACAATTATTGAAGGAAATAAATTGTCCTTTTTACCAGTTTGTTGGATGAAAACACTGCATAACATAAATCAAAATGTTAAATTGTTACCACTTTTTTGTTGAAAATAGTAAATAATTTTGTCTTTATCAGACACTTATACACTAAATAGTCACTAAATGATACAAATAAGAATGGAAACGTATCCCATCTTAATTATTTTATAAAACCTGGTGGAGAAACACAATCTGATGCACCGTACAACAAATTAGCCTAACAATGATCATAAAATAAACTGTCCTGTACTGCCACCAGGATGACAGCTCGGACAGCTGCATTTTTTGGGTTCATCTCCTTCGTGGCAACTCACGGTAATTCTTTTGTAAAATATTGCTGATAAAAGTTCTTGACCCATTCTGTTGTATAGGTCGGTTTAGATCAAGTTTACCCGGCTGAAAACTCTCTCGACGTCAGCATTACTAATGGGTAAATGCAAGAACAAATTTAGATAGATTTTTGATTGATTTCTCCCCACCGACATCTGTGTAGTGGCCAACAGTCTTCTCTGACCAGCCGCTAAGCCCCCCAGTGAGAGCGTGGGAAAGGAAATTACTAAAGATCTTATTTCATTCAAAATTTTAAATTACCCGATGATTATAAGCCAATAAATGAAGAGAAGCAAGAGCAGTCATGTGCTTTCCTTTATTACTAATACTGATTTTTTTTTTAAATATTCATTAATAAAGACTGCAGGAAAAACAGGTGATTTAGTGGTGTCGTGGTTTAATTTTTCAAAAGAAGCCCAATTTTAGGCAAGTAGTGGCACCATTTTATTGCCCTCAGCAAGCAGTTTAAAAGTAGCCCAATTGAGCGGGTAAACTGCGGGTTTGGCAACACTGATTATACTACAACAATATACTATATAGTGATAGATTATTTTATTCAAGGGAATTTAGCATCAACATGAAGATTAGTCACCCCAGATTATTTCACCTGATGATTAAATTATCCTAATGCTACCTGGGGGAGGTGAGGTTAGGTTAGGCTTGAGTAAGTTAGTTTATATTACATTACGTGAGGTTAAGTTATCTTACATTAGGTTACATTACTCTTGGTTAGGTTATATTAAGCTAGGTTAAGTTACTTTAGGTTAGGTTAGCATTAGGATGGCTAATCTTAAGGTAAAATAAGCAGGGGGAGCTAAACTTGAGGTGATCCAAAGCTAATTAGGCTTAGCTTGTACAGTATATTCTGCAGTTCATTACACACAACAAAGAGTGATCTGTCTGGGTCTACTTTATGATGACTGTTGACTGTTGCTACTTCCTGAGTGGATGTGAGATAAAAGTTGCCACAGTTAATGCTACTCAACAACACAAGGGACGGCTCTACAGTACACATGTCCCACATAGAGACCACATAACCTTACAAGTGAGCCACATAGACCACATAGCCTTACAAGCATCATATTGAGAAGTCTTGGGTCTTGCTAGTGGGGCAGACACATGGGCTTGACTATTGGAAGATGCTGACTGGACGCTATACCTGTGAACAAGAAAAACGCAGTAAATAACAACTTCCATCTACAATAACTATGTATCACAGGACTTTATACAAACAATGACAAATATGTACTGGTAAGAGAGAAGTTAGTTATATGATTATAATAAACATTATGTCTGCCATTGTGGTTTTTTTGGTCATACTGTACTTTTTAACCTCCTTGGTCTCAGCATTATTGTTAGTATTTACATAACAACCAAACACTTTACCTGAGCATGCACTTCCCACTAGGGATGCCGAGGGCCTTGAGTGTGGTGGTTTTGATCTCTTCAGCCCTGACTCTTCTCATGGTATAGACTATGACAGGTTCAAGATCACTCTCAGGAGGGGGTAGGAGGCTCCCTGCTTCACCACACTGCTCATGGTAACTCAGAATCTCCCATAAAGTGGCTGTTGGTTGAGCAATAATAAAGAAAAGTGGTACAACTTTTTACCTCTGTACTGTACATGTTATGAGTCTCCACTAGGTCATATTTTCCGCAATATTGTATTTATCAAACACTTTCTTTTATCGGGTTTAGTTAGGTTAGGTGAATTTGGATTAGGTTTGGGTAGGTTAAGTTAGGTAAATTTAATTAGATTTTGGTAGGTTACCGTAGGTTCTGATGACATTAGTTTAGGAAGGGTTAATTTAGATTAGATTTGGGTAGATGAGATCGGGTTGGCATTACGGTGATTAATCTCAAAGTAAAATAAACTGGGGGAGGGGGGTGAGGGGACCCAAAAGGAATGTTCTCCCAATATATACAACTTACTTGTGGCAGGAAACTCATGAGTCAGTCTCAGCCCTGAATCTGTAGCAATGTTGACCACCACATTTTTAGCGGTCCGAGGCACGTCAATTTTAACAAGTTCCAGTTGACACTTGTTGGGTAGACCTGAGTAACGCACGGTGCTGCTGATGTCCAACAGTCGGCGAAGATGTCTGTGTGACAACACCTGACAATTAATTCTTATATTCAAAGTAACACATCCAAAACCAGATCTCAGTTTGAAATACAGAATCATAACAAAAGTTTGGTGATTGGGTTACTATACATACAACCTACATACAGTACAGTACAGTACATGATGTTGAGGAAATATGTTTCATAATTTGGGGGGACAGTGTTATTACTGAGACATACACGAGGCTAAATGACTCCATGACCACAGTGGTAATACAGTTTTAATTAAGTACTAAAATGAATTTATTAACTTCTTCAACTTGCTCCAGCAGCTCTCAACACACATCAAGAGGCACACACACACATTCTCTAACCATATTTAACATTCTTTATAGATTTATATTTTTCATTTTTCAAAATAAGTTCTTACTTCAGGTTATAATGGTCAGGGTCGAACTTTTCCTTCCCGCAGGCGTCTTCAATTATCTGGAAAAAAAGAGGAGAGAAAATCAGCAGACATAAGACCTTTGGTGGTGGTGCAGGTTTTTTTAAGAATACGCAACCAAACATGGCAGGTTTACTACAGGTACTACAGTTCCTCCTGTACTGTACTAACACTGGACCATGGAGGATGGCCCTCACTACCAAACATGGCAGGTTTACTACAGGTACTACAGTTCCTCCTGTACTGTACTAACACTGGACCATGGAGGATGGCCCTCACTACCAAACATGGCAGGTTTACTACAGGTACTACAGTTCCTCCTGTACTGTACTAACACTGGACCATGGAGGATGGCCCTCACTACCAAACATGGCAGGTTTACTACAGGTACTACAGTTCCTCCTGTACTGTACTAACACTGGACCATGGAGGATGGCCCTCACTACCAAACATGGCAGGTTTACTACAGGTACTACAGTTCCTCTGTACTGTACTAACACTGGACCATGGAGGATGGCCCTCACTACCAAACATGGCAGGTTACTACAGGTACTACAGTTCCTCCTGTACTGTACTAACACTGGACCATGGAGGATGGCCCTCACTACCAAACATGTGTTTACTACAGGTACTACAGTTCCTCCTGTACTGTACTAACACTGGACCATGGAGGATGGCCCTCACTACCAAACATGGCAGGTTTACTACAGGTACTACAGTTCCTCCTACTGTACTAACTGGACCATGGAGGATGGCCTCACTACCAAACCATACAGGTACTACAGTTCCTCCTGATGGACCATGGAGGATGGCCCTCACTACCAAACATGGCAGGTTTACTACAGGTACTACAGTTCCTCCTGTACTGTACTAACACTGGACCATGGAGGATGGCCCTCACTACCAAACATGGCAGGTTTACTACAGGTACTACAGTTTCCTCCTGTACTGTACTAACACTGGACCATGGAGGATGGCCCTCACTACCAAACATGATAGATCTTCAATAGAGATCATCACAAAGTAAGAATGAACAGACCAGCTTCGAGTGTACAGGTATCAACAGTACTGTACTGTAAAAACAACATTGAATATCCTTGTCCTTTTGGGATATATTCGTAACACAAGAGAGAATTTATCACCGTTTATAGGTCCTAAAGTTGCTGTTTTGTTGTGGGTCCCAAAGAGAAGCATTAATATCCACAAAACCTTAACGGCTGAAACACAAACATGGAGTTATGAGGGGAAAACAGAATAAAGAAAGTATATTATTCTTTCTCATTTGGAATATTGTTCAGGTAATGCAGGACAGTATTTAGTAGTGACCATTAACACAACTATGTTCATTCTTATACAGAACAGTACAGTCCAGTCTAGTCCAGTCCAGTCCAGTCCAGTCCAGTCCAGTCCAGTCCAGTCCAGTCCAGTCCAGTACAGTACAGTCCAGTCCAGTCCAGTACAGTCACCTTTTTTATCTCAGTTAATAGAGTACAAATTGGCGGGAGGGTTAGGTTAGGTTGGGTTAGGTTAGGTTGGGTTAGGCTAGGTTAAGTTAGGTTAGGATAGACATGAATTCTTATATTTGAGTTGTTAGGTTTCATTATGTTAGGTTTCGTCAGGGTTTTGCTGTTTTTATCCCACAATTTCCCTCTATTACAAAGCCCCGCCCACTTAGCATAATCAAAGTTACATTTCTTTGAGTAAAATAGAAAAAATATAATGTAAGACAACACCGCTTACTACCACCAGAAAAAGTTTACGGTTTTGTTATATTTTCACCAAAGAAACCTTTCACACCTGACCCAACTTACCCCTGGACCCCTGCTACATTAAACACAAGGTACACTACACACCTGACCCAACTTACCCCTGGACCCCTGCTACATTAAACACAAGGTACACTACACACCTGACCCAACTTACCCCTGGACCCCTGCTACATTAAACATACCCCTGGACCCCTGCTACATTAAACACAAGGTACACTACACACCTGACCCAACTTACCCCTGGACCCCTGCTACATTAAACACAAGGTACACTACACACCTGACCCAACTTACCCCTGGACCCCTGCTACATTAAACACAAGGTACACTACACACCTGACCCAACTTACCCCTGGACCCCTGCTACATTAAACACAAGGTACACTTATTTTGATATCTGATACCAATGAAAGCAATTTTCTTGAAGAATCATGGTGTAATTTTGTTTTTTGTGGATGTGAGAGTACACTCGGATTGAGCGGGTCGGTTGTAAACAGAGAGAGCCAACAACAACACGTGCTGACTCGGTAAATAATTAATTTGGGTAAATATTTAGTAGTTGCCACCACCCAATACAGTATACTTTTGATAAAGGGTTTTTATATTGTAAATCATCGTGTTAATATGACCTTCATTGCTGTGTGAAATGAGCAGTAGTTGAGATGTTGGAAAAAAGTGGAAGGTCAAACAATGTAAAAACCTAAAATAACTAAAAAAACCTAACCTAACCTAACCTTACCTTAAGTAAGAGATACAGGAGGATAGAGAGATGTGAGGAAGTGGCCGTCACTTACCACAGTACCATGCATGGTGATCTACAAGGTACTGACACTCTTAATTACATCAACACTTTACAGATGAAACAAGAACACAGTCAGCCCTATAAATGACAACAGCTGCCGCTTCATTGTCCAAAACGTGGTGAATAATGCGCCAGTCAGCCAATGTACATCATTCACATGCAGACGCCATCTTCCAACTGCCAGAGGCTTGAGCTGATTGGCACTCACAACTATGACATCACACAGGCACTCACACTGATTGGCCAAATATTATAAAATAAGTTAAAATAACTAAAACTACAAATTTCTTCCGGAAACGTTATAGCTAAATTATTATTTTTTTCTCAACCTCCCCATATATGACTCAATATTCAGTTAGGTGGCGGCAACTTCTAAATATTAACCTTAATTTCTTTGCGTACAAAGCACATAGAGATCATTTTAGTGTCATATGATCAGTTTTTCATCGCGTTTTAAGAACATAAGAATGGAGGAAACTGCAGCGGGCCTATTGGCCCATACTGGGCAGTCCCGTTTACACCCAACCCCTATCGCTCAGATATCCATCCAACTTATGTTTGAAGTTATCCAGCGTATTCGTAGAGAAAACTGTAAAAAAATACTTTTAATTAAAATAAGAAAGTTTTCGCCTCTTTTAAAATACTTATTATAATAATAATAAGAAAATGTGTGGAAAAAATTAATGCAATCAAACAACTCCTTCTGGTGGTTGTGGTTTGATCATAAATTATCAAACTCAATAACTATAAACTTCCAACAAATCTGTAAACTGTACGGTGAAGTGTTTTATTTTTGGGCTCCATCGCCTTATACAAGAATCAATATAAAGTTCAGTGAATGGTCATTCTGTAATATTTACCACATAAGTTTCACCCTCTAGCACAGCACAGTATAGCACAATACACAGCACAGCACAATACACAGCACAGCACAGCACACCACAACACAACACAGCCCAACACAGCACAACCCAACACAACACAGCCCAACACAGCACAACACAGCACAACACAACACAGTCCAACACAGAAAAGCACAACACAGCACACCACAACACAGCCCAACACAGCACAGCCCAACACAGCACAGCACAACACAACAAAAGTTAATACTATAGTGTTGTATATCTCACCTGTAAGATGCTGGAGTTTGGTGTGACTTTAACTATCACTCTCCGGCCATTAGGACACAATACTGTCACAGATGATGCTGCCATTCTCCCTACTTAATTATTAAACTAAATTAACACAATAATTAATTAATGACCCACAACTGAGCTCTCCTCTTCCTCCTAGTCAGACCCAGTGACACTTATTATATCAAGTTCACGTAATACATTTATTTATTACTAATATTAAATAGGAATTAGATACGAGCTAGAAAACATGATATTTGATATTTATTAAACATATAAGATATTATGTATTAATGGTATTTATATATTATTTTGAGTTATTGTATATAAAATAAATTATGTAACCCGTATCAACTGCATCAGCCGATAATCCGGATTTATATATAATTTTACCGATTTTTGTATTTACGTGATTTGCCGATTTTGAGGAGAGGGAAGAGGGGGAGGGGAAGGGGGTTGGGGGTAAGGGGAAGGGGGGTAAGGGGTAGAAGAGAAGGAGAGGGAGGGGAGTAGAGAAGGAGAGTTAGGTTAGTTTAATAAATTTATTGACAAAGGTTGGAGGACAGTTTGTTTATTGTGAGTAATTCAGTCAGGTCTTGACACTGAGGGTGGTGTCACTGTTCACTGCCACACAGGACAGAGGTTCATACACAGAGAGATGCATCATATTCATTAACAGTACATATACATATATGTACACACACACATACACATACTGTATACATATGGTAGGACACATCATACATATGGGAGGACACACAACAGGGCCTGGGGGGGGGGCGAAAATATAGTAACAATAATAATAATAATAATGATAATTATATAATAATAACTATTATTATTATAATAATTCAAAAAATAAAAATACAATACTAAAAATAATAACAAATAAATACATAAACGAAAAAAATAAATCAAGAATGAGAAACGATATACATTATGTTGTGTTGTCAATAGTAAGAGAAACAATTGAGACTCCGATTGTGTGTTAATGAGGCAGAAAGTTAGATCACCAACCTGGGACCTGGTCACATATGGCAGCAGGGTCTACCATTAGACAACACATTATGCTTTCAATATCTTCCCAGGGGGTAGTACCTCCCTGCCTGCTACATCACACTTATGGTAGGATCAGTTCTTGAGGGTGGTGGCTGGTTGGCTCCTTGAGTTACCTGGGCTGGGCGGGTCTGTAGGAGGTTTCATCAGAGGACAGTAGTGTTATACTGCCAGATCTGGGGTCACTAAATCTAAGGGGATAACTTAACTCTAATCTTAATTTCTAAGGGTCGCTGCCACCAGACCCCCTCTGGACAGCATGTAGCTCGTTAGGTAGCGGGCAGAGTGAACTAGGCATTGGGTTAGGTTTTCCATTGATCAGATCGATAAGGGTAAAGAAGGGTGAAACCATAACATGTCTTCATTGATTTATTTCTTATAAAACACACTGGTAAAAAAAACATACATGAACTGGCCTTCCTCAGAAGAACAACGGAATTTTGGTTACCCAACTGGGCCCCAGACTCCTACATTACTGGCGGGTCATCCACCCACTTATTGCACAACAATCGGTGAACGCCGTATCTCGGTCGTTCCTTCTTACAATATCCCTTAACACATCAGACTGTTCCACTGGTGTGGCTTGTAGCACCGTCGGTTATCATACATAGTAGCACCATCGCAACACACCTGTTACACTCCATACCTGCAAGTATGTGACTCCTTGTGACTTTTAGGTATACACAACGGGCCCCTCGTTCGCACACCGCCCTCGGTGGGTAAGGACGAGGGCTTGACCTAGAGACATACCAGCACTATTTCTACGCCTGGTATTATAGGTCGCTCCAAGTGACGACCGCAGTTTCTCACGGTCTCCTTAGTTGTGACTAATCATGTGGGGTGGTGCGCTGGGAATCCACCGGTTCATAGTGGACTGGTATAGTGGGGAGTAATTCCCCACCTGGTGTGGCGCTCCAGGAGACAATGGCGGCTGGGCGGCAAGATACCCCAACCACGTGGCACCTGTGTTGACGGCAGAACGGGAAAGACTAAGCAATAATGCCTGACGGGCGGTTATCCCATCCCTTAACACATCCCTATCACACTTATATATCCGGCAAAGCTTTAAACTGTAGTCACTGTTATTTATCAACCTTAATTGTAGGGCGGGATATAGCCCGCTAGGACACTGACCTGTGTTGACGGCAGAACGGGAAAGACTAAGGCCGGCTTCCCGCCGCTTCTCGTCACATAGGCCTACAGTTTCCAATCCTCAATTTACATTTTTGTTTCTTATGGTTCTCCCCTGAACACTTTACGGTATATTGTCCTTCATTTCTTATAAACACATATATTAATCCTAACTTATACACTAAGGTCAGGTCTTGGTTTGCTAGTGCTTGGTTAAATGCCTGGGATTTTAATATCAACGGGCATCTGAGGCGGGTACATGACGCGCCTTGAAACAAAAGCCGAATGATCATGGCGGGGGTGTATCAACTTCACTTAAAAACTGTAATGAGGGGTCCTCCTCTCACACAGCGCACGATTTGAACACAGACCTCAGATTCTCTGATCACTGTACCTGTCGTGGGTATATGTCACGTGAGGCTACGAGGTGTATTAAATTCATACCGACGCATACACGATATTTCCTTTCCAGTATAGTTTCTAGATCACTGTCAACACCTCACATAGTTCTGATACATTTATCCCTTTTTCCCGATCATTGTTCTCATGTATTTTCATATGATATCTGTTGGGGTTAGGTTCGCTACACGCTCACAGACGTAAATAGTAGGACCTTCAAACCCTGCTCCACACTTAGTCTTACAGTACCCTAGTCCGGCTCAACTGGACTTAACATTCATCTTATGCCTACCCTGAGTGATCCTTAATGCTATGAATACATACACTTGATATGATATATCTATACCTGGGTACAATACCACACATGGTCTAGGAACCTTGAGTAGGTGAGTTGTCCTTTCTCAATGTTTCCCGTTTTCTGGGGTTCTACAAGCGCTGTGCATTTGAATGTTATGTAGCGTAATATGAATTAGATGGGATTTTTAGGGATGACAATGATGTGCGCAGTACAGTGTTGTGTTACAAGTCGTCAAGGGAATAAGCTAACCTAACATTGTTGTATTTTTCGTTAGAGTAAAGAAATAAAAACATATTGACAGAAGGATAATAAAATAGATGCATCCAGGATCATTCTTTTATTATTACCAGCACATGCCAACAGTGTGTGACAGAGCATAGTATTGGCGTTAAAGGAGTGCTGGTGGAGGCGTCGTGTTAATGGTGCTGGTGGTAGAGGTGGTGCTGGTGGTAGAGGTGTGGTGTTAATGGCGCTGGTGGTAGAGGTGTGGTGTTAATGGCGCTGGTGGTAGAGGTGTGGTGTTAATGGCGCTGGTGGTAGAGGTGTGGTGTTAATGGCGCTGGTGGTAGAGGTGTGGTGTTAATGGCGCTGGTGGTAGAGGTGTGGTGTTAATGGTGCTGGTGGTAGAGGTGTGGTGTTAATGGCGCTGGTGGTAGAGGTGGTGCTCGCTAATGAACAATAGAGCGGCCACCACAAACATTAATCCCACTTCCGGTGATGTAGGAGGCGGAGGGGGAGGCGAGGAAGACTACTGCGTCAGCCACCTCCTCCCCAGTACCAGCTTGGTCTAGGGGAGTCCTCGACAACCACTCCTGTAGTAAGGCTTTGTTAACGTCTACACTCTCACACAGACGATAATATGTGTTACTGTCAAGATTAACCTAACCTAATTTAACCTAATCTAACGTAAAGAAACGTAACCTAATCTAACATATGATAGCCTAATCTAACCACTGAGCCACGGCGCAAGAGGTAATAACAGTCGTTACCAACCTTCTTGAAGTTGTCGTTGACGGTGGGCGGCCACTGAGCTGCTCCTGGGCTGACGTAGTTCACCCGTACCTGTGTAGCAGTGAGTCAATTATAACCAGAGTCACTTAAGGTGAGTCACTTAAGTTACCATGCTGTACTGACCACAGTCATACATGTTATTTGACGTAAAATCAAGTGACTAGCATAAACGTTTGCCTTCTCACAGTGCGAGTCACCTATGAGTCATTTATCACGTGAGTCGCCTCTTACCACCACTGACTCGCTCTGTGTTCCTATACACTCCACCTGCTGTGCCACACTATGCTGCTGTACACTCCACATGCTGTGTCACACTATGTTGCTCCACATGCTGTGTCACACTATGTTGCTCCACCTGCTGTGTCACACTATGTTGCTTCACCTGCTGTGTCACACTATGTTGCTCCACCTGCTGTGTCATGTTGCTCCACCTGCTGTCCTCTGTATCATACATAAACCCTGAAAACCCGAGACATCACACATCGTTAGGCTCATAGATGGCGCCTTGAGTTCTGCCTCAGACTCACAGTGCACACATGAAGGCCGTCTGTCACACATGAAGGCCGTCTGTCACACATGAAGGCCGTCTGTCACACATGTAGGCCGTCTGTCACACATGAAGGCCGTCTGTCACACATGAAGGCCGTCTGTCACACATGAAGGCCGTCTGTCACACATGTAGGCCGTCTGTCACACATGTAGGCCGTCTGTCACACATGAAGGCCGTCTGTCACACATGAAGGCCGTCTGTCACACATGAAGACCGTCAAGTCGTTGCTTGTGGGGTCCATTAACCTATACAGCCTATTAACATTACTTAGGAAAAACAATAACTGAGTAAGATAATCATTACCTCAGGTCCCAACTCTATTGCGAGGCTCTTGGTGATCATAATGAGCGTCGCCTTAGTAGTGCAGTAGATGTTGAGGGTTGAGGTGGGCCGCTCTGCCAGGATGTCTGCCACGTTCACTATGTTACCCCGAACCTTCTGCAAGTGTGGCGCTGCAGCCTGCGTGTGGTCAACCCCGCCACCGAGATTAATGTTACGTGTCCTGTATAAAGATTACTGGTGCTACTGTGTGTGAGTGTGTGTCTGTGTGTGTCTCTGTACAGTTCGTGTTTTTTTTGTGTTTTTTTTTACGGGTATTAGCCCACCCGGACACAGGTCACCGACCCACATCAGGGCCCGGGGGGAGAAAACGTAATAACAATAACAATAATGCAGTAATCGGTTTTAGGGCTTAACTTCCTTACTATTTTAGTAAATATCAAGAAGTTTATACAATTCAATAATTTTAAAAGTTTAATATTAACTTTTTTTTATCATTTTAACAATTATTGAACATAATTGAAGGTCAAGAAGCTAGTTTCTGGCGTGCCATCCAGCCTGTTAACACACACTGGAGGTAACATCTTGCTTGAGACTCTTCAACTAAATGCTTTTTTCTGTGTTTCCAAGCAAATTATTGGTCATTTTGAAATGTATTTTACATATTGACAATATATAATGCAGTGCAGTGTTGATTTAAAGAAAATAATCTTGAATTACACCAGAGAGCTAAAAATTTATGAGTGAAATGGTGCCATGGGGTGACTTCTCTTCCACCCCAATGCCTTCTCTTCTCCCTTCTCCTCCACCTCATACTTCCCAGGCGGTAGTATCTCCCTGTTTGGTAGCTGCCTACTACCTACAAGACACAGTAGTCTAACAGTTCACCAGGTGAACGAGTTAAACAGTAGAGGACGTGTTGTTGTTGTTATGGTGGTGGTGGTGAGCCGTGAGAGTGTAAAGTGAATAAAGTTTGCTGCTTAGTTCAGAGTGATCTCACACGGTTCTTGAGTGAGAGAAATTCGTGCTTATCAATATTTATAACTTAATGTCCTCTTGAGAATTATAACCTTATAACACACACACACACCGGCTCCTACTTTCACCCGAGATCCCTCGTCCGCGAATTGCTGTTCAACATCACAGCCCATACGAGCACGTACTGATTACTATAAGAACAGCCCAGTCCCAACCATTGTAAAAATTATCAACAGCTCGTAATCAACCAGTGTATTCACTCCCAGTCAATCTTATCTCTTTGCACTGTCACTATGTTGAAATGCCCTATAGTATGACCTTCTCCCCACCTAGTTATTATATATCACATTTGTTACTTGTGTATTACTTGTCGATCAAGAGACCCATTCACCAATTATGCAACTATATTTTTAGCCTTCTGGCTGCCATGCTCTTTCAATAACCCATTAAGTATTATTAGTAGTACCTGGGTAAGGAAGTACGGAGCCTTCGCGTTAATGTTCATGAGTTTGTCCCAGTCGTGTTCGGTAGCGGCAGGTAGAGGAGTTATGAAGTAATCAGCGGCGGAGTTGACGAGCAGGTCGAGGCGCCCCCACTTCTGCTCCGCCTCCGTCACCATCCTCCTGGTTGTCTCCCCCACATTCTGGGACAGATCGCCCGTGATGACATGAGCGCTGTCCTGCCGGCAACTGTACCCCAACAAGCAGTAAGTCTCTTCTGTACTGTATATCAAAGGCAGATCACCACGATAATCAAAGAATATACAGTACTCTATAGGATTATTTTCACGATAAAAAAAATATTTGTATACGTATAGCGCAGGAGTATCTCGGCAGGTGGGTCACTCTTACCTGTTAACCTGGACAGGTGGGTCACTCTTACCTGTTAACCTGGACAGGTGGGTCACTCTTACCTGTTAACCTGGACAGGTGGGTCACTCTTACCTGTTAACCTGGACAGGTGGGTCACTCTTACCTGTTAACCTGGGCAGGTGGGTCACTCTTACCTGTTAACCTGGACAGGTGGGTCACTCTTACCTGTTAACCTGGACAGGTGGGTCACTCTTACCTGTTAACCTGGACAGGTGGGTCACTCTTACCTGTTAACCTGGACAGGTGGGTCACTCTTACCTGTTAACCTGGACAGGTGGGTCACTCTTACCTGTTAACCTGGACAGGTGGGTCACTCTTACCCCTGTGCCTGGACAGGTGGGTCACTCTTACCTGTTAACCTGGACAGGTAGGTCACTCTTACCTGTTAACCTGGACAGGTGGGTCACTCTTACCTGTTAACCTGGACAGGTGGGTCACTCTTACCTGTTAACCTGGACAGGTGGGTCACTCTTACCTGTTAACCTGGACAGGTGGGTCACTCTTACCTGTTAACCTGGACAGGTGGGTCACTCTTACCTGTTAACCTGGACAGGTGGGTCACTCTTACCTGTTAACCTGGACAGGTGGGTCACTCTTACCTGTTAACCTGGACAGGTGGGTCACTCTTACCTGTTAACCTGGACAGGTGGGTCACTCTTACCTGTTAACCTGGGCAGGTGGGTCACTCTTACCTGTTAACCTGGACAGGTGGGTCACTCTTACCTGTTAACCTGGACAGGTAGGTCACTCTTACCTGTTAACCTGGACAGGTGGGTCACTCTTACCTGTTAACCTGGACAGGTGGGTCACTCTTACCTGTTAACCTGGACAGGTGGGTCACTCTTACCTGTTAACCTGGACAGGTGGGTCACTCTTACCTGTTAACCTGGACAGGTGGGTCACTCTTACCTGTTAACCTGGACAGGTGGGTCACTCTTACCTGTTAACCTGGACAGGTGGGTCACTCTGCCTCAACCGCCTGAACGGGTGATGCCTGCCTGTGCTTACAGACAGGTGGTCACCCCCACTACCTGTGCCTGGACAGGTGGTCACTCTGCCTGCCTGGCAGGTGGGTCACTCTGCCTGTGCTTCTGGACGGGTGATCACCTGCCTGTTAACCTGGGCAGGTGGTCACTGCCTGTTAACCTGAACCGTTGGTGCTCTGCCTGGTGCCTGTGGACAGGTGCAGTCTGCTCTTACCTGTTAACCTGGACAGGTGGTGCCTTACCTGTTAACTTTGGATGGGTCGCCCTGTTAGCACCAGACTAGTCTGGGTCACTCTACCTGTCCTTTCAGGTGAGTGGGTCTTCTCTTCGCCTGGACAGGTGGGTCCTCCCTGTGTGCCTGGGCAGGTGGAGTCACTCTTACCTGTTAACCTGGACGGTGATTGCACTGCCTGTGCTGGACGGTGGGTGCTCTTACCTGTTAACCTGGACGGTGGGTCACTCTGCCTGTGCTTGCAGACAGGCCAGAGTCGCTCTTCCACCTGTTAACCTGGACAGGTGGGTCACTCTTGCTGCCTGTTAACACTGGACAGGTGGTCCACCCTGCCTGTTAACCTGGACGGGTGGGTCCCACTCTTACCTGTGCCTGGGCAGGTGATTCTTCTATAATAACAACACGGACAGGTGCAGGTCGCTCTTGCCTGTGCTTACCGGACAGGTGGAGGTCACTCTTACCTGTTAACCTGGATTGCCTGTGCCTGGACGGGTGGGTCACTCTGCCTGGGTGGGTAGGTCACTCCTGTGCCTGGACGGGTGGAGTCACGCCTGTTAACCTGGACACGTCCGTCCTCTACCTGTAACCTGGACAGATGGGTCACTCTGCCTTGGCCTGGACGGTGAGGCCACTCTTGCCTGTCTTCCTGGACAGGTGGTCACCCACCTGTGCCTGGACAGGTGGGTCACTCTTACCTGTTAACCTGGACAGGTGGGTCACTCTTACCTGTTAACCTGGGCAGGTGGGTCACTCTTACCTGTTAACCTGGACAGGTGGGTCACTCTTACCTGTTAACCTGGACAGGTGGGTCACTCTTACCTGTTAACCTGGGCAGGTGGGTCACTCTTACCTGTTAACCTGGACAGGTGGGTCACTCTTACCTGTTAACCTGGGCAGGTGGGTCACTCTTACCTGTTAACCTGGACAGGTGGGTCACTCTTACCTGTTAACCTGGACAGGTGGGTCACTCTACCTGTTAACCTGGGACAGGTGGTCACTCTTACCTGTTAACCTGACAGGTGGGTCACTCTACCCGTTAACCTGGACAGGTGGGCCTCCACTGTTAACCTGGACAGGTGGGTCACCTACCTGTTAACCCGGGATTGCAGGTCACTCTACCTGGGTTAACCTGGACAGGTGGGCACCACCTGTTAACCTGGACAGGTAGGTCACTCTACCTGTTAACCTGGGCAGGTGGGTCACTTCTACCTGTTAACCTGGACAGGTAGGTCACTCTACCTGTTAACCTGACAGGTGGGTCAATTTACCTGTTAACCTGGACAGGTGGGTCACTCTACCTGTTAACCTGGGCAGGTGGGGTCACTCTACCTGTTAACCCACAGGTGGGTCACTTTACCTGTTAACCTGACAGGTGGGTCACCCTACCTGTTAACCTGGACAGGTGGGTCACCCTTACCTGTTAACCTGGACAGGTGGGTCACCCTTACCTGTTAACCTGGACAGGTGGGTCACTCTTACCTGTTAACCTGGACAGGTGGGTCACTCTTACCTGTTAACCTGGACAGGTGGGTCACTCTTACCTGTTAACCTGGACAGGTGGGTCACTCTTACCTGTTAACCTGGACAGGTGGGTCACTCTTACCTGTTAACCTGGACAGGTGGGTCACTCTTACCTGTTAACCTGGACAGGTGGGTCACTCTTACCTGTTAACCTGGACAGGTGGGTCACTCTTACCTGTTAACCTGGACAGGTGGGTCACTCTTACCTGTTAACCTGGACAGGTGGGTCACTCTTACCTGTTAACCTGGGCAGGTGGGTCACTCTTACCTGTTAACCTGGACAGGTGGGTCACTCTTACCCGTTAACCTGGACAGGTGGGTCACCACCTGGTTAACCCTGGACAGGAAAATACCACCTGTTAACCTGACAGGTGGGTCACTCACCTGTTAACCCGGACAGGTGGGCCACCTACTGTTAACCTGAGCACAGGTAATACCCACCTGTTAACCCGGACAGGTAATACCTTTACCTGTTAAATCACAGGTAATACCTTACCTGTTAACCCGGGACAGGTGGGTCACTTCACTGTGCCAACCCGGGACAGGTAGGTCACTTACCCGTTAACCCGACAGTGGGTCACCTTACCTGTTAACCTGGACAGGTAGGTCACCTACCTGTTAACCTGGACAGGTGGGTCACTCTTACCTGTTAACCTGGACAGGTGGGTCACTCTTACCTGTTAACCTGGACAGGTGGGTCACCTTACCTGTTAACCTGGACAGGTGGGTCACTCTTACCTGTTAACCTGGACAGGTGGGTCACTCTTACCTGTTAACCTGGACAGGTGGGTCACTCTTACCTGTTAACCTGGACAGGTGGGTCACTCTTACCTGTTAACCTGGACAGGTGGGTCACTCTTACCTGTTAACCTGGACAGGTGGGTCACTCTTACCTGTTAACCTGGACAGGTGGGTCACTCTTACCTGTTAACCTGGGCAGGTGGGTCACTCTTACCTGTTAAGCTCAGCAGCGAGTTCAAGTGCGAGGAGTTTGGAGGAACAGCAGTGTATGATGACGTTGTAGTGGTGCCTGTGTAGTGCGAGAGTGATGAGGCGTCCCACCCTGCGAGCTCCCCCCGTCACCAGCGCCACCCTGCCTGCGCCCCACACACACGTCCCAGGCACTGTACACACACACACATGAGCCGACATTGTGACCATGACACAAGCTTGTTGATTTTATTTTATTTTTTATTTTAACTTTTATTTCCTTATAATTTCTTTTCCTGTTCTCATGAACGACTACAGTATATCTCTTTGTGCTATCACTGTGTACACTGTATCTCCTTGTGAATGGTGTATTGTAGGCACAGTTTCAGTCTATGAAAAAGCACACAAACAAAATAAAATTTAAAGCCTCTGTGGCACCTACCTGTATAACACGACTTGGTTTCTGCTGGCAGTGGTGCCTTGTAGTGGATTCCTCCCCTACAAACGCCGTGTGTCGCTGACTGGCCGACCCCCCCGCGAATCTGCCAGCGTATCCCTCGTGGTCAAGGTCACGTAACCAGTGACGCCGGACAAAGCGGGGGCCTACCATCAAGCCACGCCTATCCCCATCAAGCCACGCCTATCCCCTCTATATAAAACCCCACCTGGCCGTCATCGCGCTCTTTATACTTACCGCCACCAGCAAGCAACATCTCTCAACAGCTCCACACCACACGCTCCCTCAGAAAGCTCCTCGCCCTACAGGAACCTTGAGCAAGCTTCGCCCGACCTAGTATCTCTTTAACACTGTGCTGTGCAACAATATATATAACGGGAAACACATTTAGACTTTCTATTCTACCTCAATCCTGAGTGCTGGATATATTACATCAGTACGCTACAGCCTTACCAGCTTGCTTGCCAATTTGTATCCACTTTAAGTTATTTACAACTTCCCCGGTCACTGAATGTCATATTATGGAATAAATTATGTTTGTGTTTTACTTTACTCTAAATGTTCTCTTGTTCTAATTGGGTTTTGTTTTGTTCTGTTGTAGATGTATATGGATTTATGAGTTGAATAAAGCCTTGATTACTGAAGGTGTTTGATATCATACGACACTGATGACACTATGAACTGATTTAACTCACATAAGTTACTTAAAGTAAAGGGGGATAACGGGTGACATCACATCAGGGGAGTGGGTGAAGTTAACAATAGGGTACATGGACCAAGCAGGGGAACGGGTGAAGTACTGGTTAACAATAGGGTACATGGACCAAGCAGGGGAACTGGTGAAGTACTGGTTAACAATAGGGTACATGGACCGAGCAGGGGAACGGGTGAAGTACTGAAGTTAACAATAGGGTACATGGACCGAGCAGGGGAACGGGTGAAGTACTGAAGTTAACAATAGGCACATGGACCAAGCAGGGGAACGGGTGAAGTGAAGCAATAGGCCACATGGACCGAGCAGGGACGGGTGAAGAAGTTAACAATAGGTACATGGACCAAGCAGGGGAACGGGTGAAGTACTGAAGTTAACAATAGGGTACATGGACCGAGCAGGGGAACGGGGTGAAGTACTGAAGACAATACAATAGGGAACCTGACAGGGACCAAGCAGGGGAACGGGTGAAGTACTGAAGTTAACAATAGGGTACATGGACCAACAGGGGAACGGGTGAAGTACTGAAGTTAACAATAGGCCACATGGACCAAGCAGAACAGGGGACCAAGCGGGTGAAGTACTGAAGTTAACAATAGGCCACATGGACCAAGCAGGGGAACGGGTGAAGTACTGAAGTTAACAATAGGGTACATGGACCAAGCAGGGGAACGGGTGAAGTACTGAAGTTAACAATAGGCTACATGGACCAAGCAGGGGAACGGGTGAAGTACTGAAGTTAACAATAGGGTACATGGACCAAGCAGGGGAACGGGTGAAGTACTGAAGTTAACAATAGGCCACATGGACCAAGCAGGGGAACGGGTGAAGTACTGAAGTTAACAATAGGCTACACACAGCCACCGTTTGAGTAGAGAAGAGGCTATTGAGCTGGAGCTGTGAGCCTCCTCCAGAAGATCACCTGTGAGTAGATTTGTTAATGTTTATCGGCGTTTCTAAAGACTTCACATTTGGAACTAGATGTCACAATTTTTGTGATGCCATATTGCAGCTTATTGCTAACTTCACCCACTCCCCTGCTTGGTCCATGTAGCCTATTGTTAACTTCACCGCCCCCCTTCCCTCTGCCGGTTCCATGTAGCCTATTGTTAACTTCAGTACTTCACCCACTCCCCTACACCAACCAGCAAGCAACACCTCCTCCTCCTCCTGCCTGGCGGCCCTCGCTCCCGACGGCTACAACAGTACTCCAGACGGGAAAGCACTCCACTCTTGAAGATCGTTACGAGGGACGGACCGTCTAGATATCTGAACGACCTTCTTACAAGACCCAATAATTTATTTGCCTGATTTACCTTCTTCTCACAGTGGCCCGAGAACTTCAGCTGTTAATCCACATTCTCCACACATTTCGGTGTTCTTTCCTCCATGTTTGTTGACACTTGCCTTCCTTCTCTTGTCTCCTGAGTCCTTGGTCTCACTCATTTTGACTTCTTCTTTATTGTATATACAAAAATTTGATGGGCTTACCTCCCTGTATGCCTCCGTATATTCACAGAACTGAGTATCTACTTAATTTCCACTGATGTTCTTATCATTATTCACAAATTTGGGCAAAATTACAAGAGCTCTATCTTACCAGGACCTCCCCAAGTTGATATCTAACGGTGATACATGTTTACTAATACCGTAATTGTTAATAATATATTTTACTTACTGGTACATTCAGTTTTGTTGTTTGACGCCATTCTTGACTGACACCTAACAGACCAGCCTTCTGTAACAAGGTACAGTGGACAGTTACGTCAGCAGTCAGCAGTTCACTTACTAGACCCGTCTTGTACTGACTCTGAGCCATGGCAAGCACCACCTGCCCTCCACAACACGCACACTATATTATTTTAACCATATTCACACTAATTACAGAGATCAGGTAAATTCTCTTGGATATAATTCTTCGTTTTTATTAACTGTAATAGTTTAAAAGTGGATTAGATCGTAAATGGTATTGACAATAGGGTAAATATAGGATAATATTTCGTCTAGTGGCAACATATTAGAGACTTGCAACTGAGAGTGAGGTGTCTCTTCCTGTTTATGGGTGACCTTGGGAGATAAGTATACAAATAATGACTGTTTCTGAGCTTTACAGTCATGACCTGGGAAATATTTATTATCAATGTAGCTGATTTCTTTATATTCTACATTTAGGCGTAACATATCGACAATTAAGGGTCATCTACATGTAGAATATCAGAAACCGGGGAAGTAAAACATAACATGTGAAACACAATGATAAAGCCTTCATCATTGTGTTTCACATAATCTCCTTTATCATAAAGGAGATTATTTTAAAGTGAAAGATAAAATGTTAATTGGATCAGCAGAGTTTGTTGATGTATTGTCATCCCGCACATGGCTCGACCAGTCGCCATCTTTCTTTGATTTGGCTCAGAGACTGTCTGTCAGTTGATAGGAAATGTCCAAATGTTAGGAGCCTGTAGTGGATTCCTCCCCTACAAACGCTGTTTGTCGCTGAGTAGTCGATCCAGCGAATTCCCCAGTGTATGCCTCGTGGTCTGGGTCAACCAGCGCCGCCTTACATGACGGAGGTCAACTATTAAGCCACGCCTACCTCCGCTATATAAGACCTGACCTCGTGGTGACCTACCTCTCTTTTCTCTACCTACACCAACCAGCAAACAACACCTCCTCCTCCTCCTGCCTGGCGGCCCTCGCTCCCGCCGGCGAGCATGGCGACCCACAGGCTGGTCCTCCTCTGAGCGTCCTCACCAACCAGCTCTCTCTACATCACGCTTGTAACCACACTGCCACTTCCCAGCACCAAGCTGCATTGTACATCCAATACAACATGTATACAGAGAGCACATTGTGAGTTTCCTTTCTCCATCCCATCCCGAGTGAGAACCCAAATAACTCGTACCCCACAAGCCCACCAGACTGGTGCCTGCACTACGGCACCTTAATGTAGTTACCCAAAGAGATTAGAGCGCCTGCAACTGCCTAGCTTATACTATATACGGGCAAGGGGCGACCTAATTGAGGTATATAAGCATCTCGGTGACGAGATAAAACCCCAACAGACAAAACCCTAGTCTCATATATAAAATATAAAACAAAACATTTTTATGTCATAGGGGCACTACTCGGTCGAATGTACATACCTGGAGCTGGCGGACGTCCGCCCCACAAGGGGTCACAGCTCAAGGTTGAAGAAGCCACAGGTCCAGAAAACTGTGAGGGGTAACTTTTTCGGAATGAGGGTTGTAAACTCTTGGAACAATCTGCCAGTGTTGTGACGGCACCGAGTGTGAGTTCTTACAAGACCAGACCTGACCAACACTGGAGCAGGTTCAGGTACATTCAGGAGCCAGTACATGCCCAGTACTTGCCAACAGTGCGTGACAGAGACAGCGGGCCCAATACACTGCCCTGTGGTACCCCACTTGTGAAAGGTACGGATGATGATTTCGTGCCATTAATCACCACACACTGCTTGCGGTCGTGTAGAAAGTCTTCTATCCATGCAAGGACATTTCCCCGAATTCCGTACCCTTCCAGTTTGATTTTCAGCCTTTCATGGGGTCGAAAGCCTTGGCAAAATCTAGGTAAATATTGTCAATATTACCACCCCGTTCCAGAATATGGGTCCAAATATCCAATAACTTTAACAATTGTGTTAAACAGGAGCGCCCCGGCATAAAACCGTGTTGGCAATCTTTTACAAAGTTGTTTCGTAGTTGATGTTCTATCGCGGCATCTCATAATATTGTACTCTCAAGTACTTTACATAATATGCTGGTCAGGCTCTATGGTCTACAGTTGTTCGTGGAGTGACGATCACCCTTCTTGAAGATAGGACTCACATGAACCATTTTCCAATCACTGGGGACCTTTTGTTCATCCAGGCATTTACAAAACAGGATCTTCAGGGGCTCGGCAAGCTCGTTGCACAACTCTCTTGGTACTCTGGGGTGCACCATGTCAGGGCTGGGACTCTTATGGACCTTTAGCTTTGACAGTTTATTTCTTATACCATCTTCTGTGAACACAATGTGGGTCAGTGCTGTGTCGAACTGTCTGTCCTCAAACGAACGAAGATTAATCGCATCCTCTCTTGTGAACACCGAGGAAAAGAAGCTGTTCAATGCCTCAGCTTTATCCTGGTCAGAATCTGCATAACTACCATCTTCAAGCCACAAGTCTGATACTCCTCCTCATGTTTTTAATTTCGACTTTGCATAGTGGTAAAACTGTGGGGTTATGAGATATTGGTTCACACTCAGGATGGGATGGAGAAAGGAAACTCACAATGTGCTCACTGTATACATTTTGTATTGGATGTATAATGCAGCTTGTTGCTGGGAAGGTAGCATGGTAATAAGCGTTGAGTAGAGAGAGCTGGGTGGTGAGGGTACCCAGAGTGAGGGCACGCGGCTTGAGGGACACCAAGGTCGCTGGCGGGAGCGGCAGCCGCACGGCTGGCGCGGAGGAGGAGGTGTTGCTTGCTGGTGGCACTGGGTAGAAAAGAGGCTGGCCACAGCGGTGTCAGGCCTTATAAGGCGGGGGTAGGAGTGGGTAGATAGTTGACCCCCGCTCCGTGGGCGGCGCTGGAGGCGTAGGCTAGGGAATTCGAGAAGGTTCAGTGCTTGTACGAGAGGAATCCACTACAAAACGCCTTTGGGTTTGACTTTACTTCGCTTACAACCAGCCTCTGGAACTCCTTTTCAGCCCTTCTACCCTCTGCCTTTGCTTGGTTTCCCAGGTCTTGCATACATCCTCCTGTCCTGCTCATCGTTTGACCTAAGCCACGTCTTGAATTTCTGCAGTTTAGAAAATTCGAAGTTGGCAGTCAAAGTTCAAAGTACCTTGCCCTCCATTATGGCGACCAAACCCTCACCTTTGGCGAGTTTAAATTTAAATGCACTCACAACTAATAATTGTAGAATAATAAATGTAAGATAAATCTCTCTTAATACTACTGGTGAGTATTTACAGAGTACAAAGCGCCAGTCAACCATTTTGACTGCGTCAATCCACATTCCCGCTGTTTGTTTGAGTGACCTTGACCTTTGTGTACCTTTTTTCACTCCCTCTCACTTGGCGTGGTGTTCTCGTGTGGATTAATGGCCTCTAAAGTACCTGGGGGTATTGGAAGGGATGATAGTGGTAGTGAAAGACAGTCTGGGCGCCCGGGCAGTTCAAATGATGGGGTAAAAACAACGAAAAATTCTCATGAGTATCGAGTTGGGAAGAAAATGGAAAAAGTACTCATTTGAGGATAAGAGAAAGACTGTGGATATGATTGAGCTTACCAAAGGACCTTTATTTTGAAGGCTTTGATCTAGTGGTGGAGGAGGAGAGAGACTGGGTGGGGGGCAACGGACGTTAGCCTTCCTTCCCCAGCCTCAGATACCAGCTTAGTCTACATTAAACTCAACTTTAATTTTATGGTTGGTTTTCTATGTTTATGTTGATTAACTAATTATTCATTCTCTTTCAGCAATAAAATATAGGTTACATGTGGGTAAAATAGGAAACAATTGAGACTTTGGCTGGCCCCTCGGTACCAATTAGGTTTTATCCCATTGGATTAAGCCCTCTGGTTTGGCGAGGGTTTTTCGGCACAAATTAGTCGCCAAACTAGAGGGTTTACTGTATAAAAAATAGCTCCATCCACACTCAAACCATCCTCTGGGTGACATGGCAGTTCTGCCAGGCTGTCAACCGGCTGACTCACAGACATGTGGCTGCCGTCCCGCGCTGTGTGTATGTCAAGACGTCCCATTGGGAGGGAGTGCAGCCAAGCAGTTATAGCTCAGTAACGCACCGCCTCAATATACATTCACTTCTCACATATACACACACCCATGCTCTTAATTTTTATAGTTTAATATATATTTTATTTATTTCTAAGCCACGTACAGTAGTTTATATAGTGAATAAGAGGTACAGATGTCAGTTTTTCTGAGAAACAAATTTGCGAGGTCAGCCCGTAGCACTGTTCATTGTAAGATCCCAAGAGAAAGGTTCAATTAACCAGAAAATCTCTTTACACAGCTTCACTTTGTGTCTTACATAACAACATATGTCCTTATACTGTTTATCAAAATTAATTTCCATTTTGTAAACAGTGAATGAGATGTAAAGTAATAAAATGGTAACAATAATCTGGCTTGATATAAAAATACAGTACATGTGTTTTATAGAGTAATGGAACAGTTTCCTCGTAGGTTGTAACGAGAACAATTATAATGCTGTACAGAGATGTGTTTGTTTGGGTTCCTGAGTGATAAAAACTAAAGACAGGTTACAGTACAGTATTTCACATCCCCACGACCTGAAGTGTGGTTTTTGTAATCGCTTCAGAAGTGCCAGACCTTCCTTCCGAGCCTCATCATAATAAGATCACCTCAAGAATCTCCACCTCTGCTTATTTCACCAAAACATTAACCACACCAATCTAACCTAACACTAAACTAACCTAGCCTAACTTAACACTAACCAACTGCTAACCTAAGAAAACTGTGAGGGGTAACTTTTTCGGAGTGAGAGCTGTAAACTCTTGGAGCAATCTGCCAGAGTGTGTTGTGACGGCACCGAGTGTGAGCTCTTTCAAGGCAAGACTTAACCAACACTGGAGTGGGTTCAGGTACATTCAGGAGCCAGTGCCTGCCCAGTACTTGCCAACAGTGCGTGACAGAGACGTGACCGATCACCCAAGGGGCTAACGACCCGATCAGTGGTGAAGAGGATAAAGTAAAGTAAGCTAACCTCATCTTCCTCAAATAATGTTAAGAGTTATTAAAATAATTTTTAGGTAAAATAAGCTAGGGTGGAGATGCTTCAGGTGATCCCAAAAATAAGACCATTGACTTTAACCTTCACTTAAGAGGACAAATCATCATAATCTGGCGAGACAAAATGTCCAGTCGTGGAAAACAAAACTTGGAACCTCTTATTATCATTATTATTAAGAGGAATTCTCCATCACATTTACAACTAAACTTAAAGGCAATTTTCTTCATAAATTTAGTGAAATTAAGACTAATGATAAACTAAAAAAGTTAAACATATGACTAAATAAAATACAGTCAACAACAAGTTATTGGTTCTGTACAAAAACATCTCTACAGTATTGATTCTTCTAACTCAACTTAAAACAATTACTTTGGTTAACTTCATATATTTTATTATTAAAACCTTTTATCAGACCTAACTTAACCTGTGATGAGGTTAACACTACCACCTCACCTCACTACTGCACCTCACCTCACCACACTACCACACCAGCCTCACTACCACACCTCACCACACTACCTCACCTCACCTCATCTAAACTAAACTAACCAAACCTAACTAACCTGTGGAATTCTGATAATATTACTAGTACAGTACTATACACAAGGTACCGTACATAATATTACTAGTACAGTACTATACACAAGGTACTGTACATAATATTACTAGTACAGTACTATACACAAGGTACTGTACATAATAATATTACTAGTACAGTACTATACACAAGGTACTGTACATAATATTACTAGTACAGTACTATACACAAGGTACTGTACATAATATTACTAGTACAGTACAATACACAAGGTACTGTACATAATAATATTACTAGTACAGTACTATACACAAGGTACCGTACATAATATTACTAGTACAGTACTATACACAAGGTACTGTACATAATAATATTACTAGTACAGTACTATACACAAGGTACCGTACATAATATTACTAGTACAGTACTATACACAAAGTACTGTACATAATAATATTACTAGTACAGTACTATACACAAGGTACTGTATATAATAATATTACTAGTACAGTACTATACACAAGGTACTGTACATAATAATATTACTAGTACAGTACTATACACAAAGTACTGTACATAATAATATTACTAGTACAGTACTATACACAAAGTACTGTACATAATAATATTACTAGTACAGTACTATACACAAGGTACTGTACATAATAATATTACTAGTACAGTACTATACACAAAGTACTGTACATTATAATATTACTAGTACAGTACTATACACAAAGTACTGTACATAATAATATTACTAGTACAGTACTATACACAAAGTACTGTACATAATAATATTACTAGTACAGTACTATACACAAGGTACTGTACATTATAATATTACTAGTACAGTACTATACACAAAGTACTGTACATTATAATATTACTAGTACAGTACTAAACACAAGGTACTGTACATAATAATATTACTAGTACAGTACTAAACACAAAGTACTGTACATAATAATATTACTAGTACAGTACTATACACAAGGTACTGTACATAATAATATTACTAGTACAGTACTAAACACAAGGTACTGTACATAATATTACTAGTACAGTACTAAACACAAGGTACTGTACATAATATTACTAGTACAGTACTATACACAAGGTACTGTACATAATAATATTACTAGTACAGTACTATACACAAAGTACTGTACATAATAATATTACTAGTACAGTACTATACACAAAGTACTGTACATAATAATATTACTAGTACAGTACTATACACAAGGTACTGTACATAATATTACTAGTACAGTACTAAACACAAGGTACTGTACATAATAATATTACTAGTACAGTACTATACACAAAGTACTGTACATAATAATATTACTAGTACAGTACTATACACAAAGTACTGTACATAATAATATTACTAGTACAGTACTATTTACAAGGTACTGTACATAATATTACTAGTACAGTACTAAACACAAGGTACTGTACATAATAATATTACTAGTACAGTACTATACACAAAGTACTGTACATAATAATATTACTAGTACAGTACTATACACAAAGTACTGTACATAATAATATTACTAGTACAGTACTATACACAAGGTACTGTACATAATAATATTACTAGTACAGTACTATACACAAGGTACTGTACATAATATTACTAGTACAGTACTAAACACAAGGTACTGTACATAATATTACTAGTACAGTACTAAACACAAGGTACTGTACATAATAATATTACTAGTACAGTACTATACACAAAGTACTGTACATAATAATATTACTAGTACAGTACTATACACAAGGTACTGTACATAATAATATTACTAGTACAGTACTACACAAAGTACTGTACATAATATTACTAGTACAGTACTAAACACAAGGTACTGTACATAATATTACTAGTACAGTACTATACACAAGGTACTGTACATAATAATATTACTAGTACAGTACTATACACAAAGTACTGTACATAATAATATTACTAGTACAGTACTATACACAAAGTACTGTACATAATAATATTACTAGTACAGTACTATACACAAGGTACTGTACATAATATTACTAGTACAGTACTAAACACAAGGTACTGTACATAATAATATTACTAGTACAGTACTATACACAAAGTACTGTACATGTACTGTACATAATAATATTACTAGTACAGTACTATACACAAGGTACTGTACATAATATTACTAGTACAGTACTATACACAAGGTACTGTACATAATAATATTACTAGTACAGTACTATACACAAAGTACTGTACATAATAATATTACTAGTACAGTACTATACACAAGGTACTGTACATAATAATATTACTAGTACAGTACTATACACAAGGTACTGTACATAATAATATTACTAGTACAGTACTATACACAAGGTACTGTACATAATAATATTACTAGTACAGTACTATACACAAGGTACTGTTCATAATAACACCGGGCAAAACACACACAATATTTTCCACTGTGTCTCACTTAACAATTTGAGAGAGATGAAACCATGGCTGCCAAGGTCGACGGGGCAGGAAACTTTTGGGAAGCTGAATGGAATGTTGCTAATGTCTGTTTGTGGCCCTCAACCTGGCCATATGGCCTAATAGATCCTAACTTAACCTGGCCATATGACCTAATTATCCCATCCTACTGGGCCTGAATACTAAGGTCAGGTCAGGTCACGTTAGGTTGGGTTAGGGAGTGTGAGAAAGGGGATTTTTTCACCATCAGCCTCTCAGAGTATTGAAGAAACAAGAATTACTTTAATTATAGATAAGGTTCAAAGTGATATAAAAGAAGTAATACTACTAAGATAAAAATGACTCTGTGGCCCAACAGACAAGATGAGGCCAAAACTCCTCCCAGAAATACAGGTAAACGACCACAACATCTTAGTGAATGAATTAACTGAAGGAGGCAGCCAAAATAAGTATTTCAAATATATACAATTGAAGATATTTTCCTGTATCATAGTTACATTACGATGTTCAGTACTTGAGATTCAAATATATGATCTTGCTTGTGTGGCAAAATGAAAAAGACATTCCTTGGTGTTATTCCTCATCTATCTATATATATAAAACAAAGAAGTCTGTGTGTTTGTGTGTCCGCATGAGAATCTTGGAAACTACTTTACCGATCTGTAGTGATGATGGATGGTGTTATATGTAGTGATGATGGGTGGTGTTATATGTAGTGATGATTAGACAATAAAATAATAACAGGTTAATGCTAAAAAAATATACTTTGCTGTACCGTTGTAGTGAAAAACATGGTGGAACTTACATACACCGTTAATGAACTATTGATGGAAGAAGAAGTTTTGGGGACTGAAAAGTGAGACAATGTGGAGCCTCCCGGAGGGTGGCGTCCTACCGTGGCCTAGCGGAGCGATTCTGCTAGTGTGGAATATTTAAAGAGTAAATCAATTAAATTAGTGAGGCTAATCTTTTCTTGTACCAACAGATGATTGTGTCTGGTGCACACAATCACTGTTAGTGAGCCACAAGTGTAATGTAGTGTAATGAGGCACTGTTATCAGGGACGGAGTTAAACAAACTGCTATGAGATGCTGAGGCAGAAATCACGATTGTTGAGAAGATTACAAAATGTTATTCATCATTTGACCAGTTATGAGTTTACAGGAGGAAACTGTAGTACCCAGAGAGAACCTGCCATGTTTGGTAGTGAGGGTCACACTCTTCTCACATGCCTATGTCCTGGCCAAGGATTGAACTCAGGACGTGGTTGTGAGAGATACACGTTACCGCTGTATGACATACTCGGAGCTTCTGATAGTCTTTTATACTAGTGTGCGTTATATCAAGGCTGGTTATGAGTACAGTTAACGTAATACAAACTGCTGATGGTACTTGTTGAGTCCGCAGGTTTGTGGGAGAGTGTTCAGTAAATCAAGTGCTATGTATCTGACTATGTACTGCACTGAGATTACATGCATTGTAAATATACCAAATACTGTACAGCACTATATAGGGCAGTATAAGTCTCGGCAAGAGACCTGATTTCCTTAAAGCAATAGTCATGATAAAACCAACAAACTTAAAAAGAGATTAAAGGATAAAAACAAAGCAGTTTGACCTAATGAGCAGAGGTTCCACACATGTTGATGACTCAAATATGTGATATGAAGCCGAGACTAAATATCGTGTAACAACCAGGAGGTGTGAACCATACAAACACTCACTGACGAGGACAACAAACACTGACTAAACACAGTGTTGCTTTGCTTACTGCACATGTACAGTGGTGCACACACTTGTTATTACTATACTATACAGTATGCAAAACTTTTGTGGCTGTACCTGAATAAGGAATATTTTGTCAGAGGCTACAGTACTGACAATGTGGATCATGAGAATATAGTACTGTACTTTACCCTGTACAGTGTAATCTTAATAAATACTTTATGTCTGGTCATCAAGCTCATACAGTTATCAAAGCTGTACAACATGGCATAATTTACATGAGTAATTTGTGCTATTTATCTGTTATCATAAAGTCCTGAACATTACATAAAGAGGCATTGAACAATATTTCTCAAGAGTCCAGCCTACAAAACAAGTTTGAATTATTTGCCCTCACAGAAACTTGCTTCTGTAACAAGACAGGAAATAACTGATGATGTGACTGGTGAACCTTACAGTAAACAAACATAGAATCATCAGTCTGATTGGGTGGGCGGGGGGGCAGTAATAATAATCACATAGAAATAGAGCAACAGACCAGCACTGATACATAAAAACAAAACCTCAAACTAATTTTCAGGAACTGCAGCAAAAATCACTCTGAAATAAAGACCAAATGATTCAGAGTTAATTGTTCTTCACATTATTATACAAGTTTATAAACACTGTTAGTAGAACTGTCTATGAGACGCTTAAAAACCAAACTACTGTACAGGGTACTAATAAATAATTCTGCATTTGTCTCACAAGAGGATTATTCTACTACTAAATGCAAGGCAATACCCATTACACCTCCATTACCAGTTAATTCTTCCCTTTGTCATGGTACAACTGTCCCCATTACACCTCGGTTCAATTCGCACATTTGGTATTGCTTTAGTTCTCAATAATGATATGCAAACGTATCAAAATATTTAAAGCTTCACTATAAATAGAGCTGAGCATTAAAGTGCAAGAAAATATATTAAGTTTTCTTGCCAGATTCCTCAACTATGGCGGCAATCTTCTGCCTGGTGCGTTTGCTGATATGGGTCATGGTGGCAACCAGCGCAGTCAGCTGTCGAGATGAGTAGTTGCCACGGTTCTGTTGCAGCCACTCTTCTAAGGCTCCTTCTGGTAAATAATATGCTTTGATGTATGTCTCAACCAGGTGACGATCTGGCAGCGGCCGGACGGAGGTTAAACACTCGAGCTTCATCAGAAATTGCTGAGAAAGGAAGAATGTAGAAAGTCAAACCTACTGTACTGTACAGATTTCCTCTATCAATATAATTACAGGTATATATAATTACTCGGTGTCAGGTGGGGGATTAGTGGTCTCATATTACTTCACCTGATGGAATGTCAGGTTACCCTTTCTGGGGTGGGGGATTAGTGGGTCTCATGACCTGAAGATGTCTTGAATAAACACAAAACCTAAAGTATTTTTAGGAAGATTGTGATAAGTTTAAGTATAAATGACCAAAGTTGTATCCCTTCAACATTACGTTACGTGACATTATAAAATATGGAGAGAAAAACCAGAAAGGTGTGGGTGATGAGAGAGATGGAGTGGAAATGAGTGTTGCCAAGCGCTCCTCAACAGCTGATATTTAACTTGCTACCATGCAGTCACACACACCAGATGTGTCTTAATTCCCTTGCTGGGGGTGTGTGAGTGGTGTTGGAATGTGTGTGTGTGTGTGTGTGGTTGTTGGAGGGTGTGATGTAGGGTGTATGTGTGGGTGGGTAGGGTCGCGTGGTCACTCACTCATGTGATATACTGATGGGAATTCCATTCTTTTGTAAAAAATAAAAACGTAAGAAATGTTGATACCGGAGTCGGTAAAATCAGTTCTAATTTCGTTAGACTCGCCATTTTTTTATCAAAATATTCCTGAATACTTTATCTAAATGGTTGGTTAAATAAATATGTTTATAGAAACCAGAGCTCTAGTGTATATGATACGGGTGTGAATAGATTTGTTACTTTTATCCTCTTCACCACTGATCGGCTCGTTAGTCGCTCGGGCGATCGGTCACGTCTCTGTTACACGCTGTTGGCAAGTGTTCTTGTGTACTGTATATATTGTATTCCAGTAGATCCTGTCATCTCTACCCTAGAATAGGCAGACACTTCACTCAATTGACTGTAATACATAACTAATCATGTCTTAACACTTGTGATGGAAGTTGGGGAGGAGATGCAATGTCAGGTCACCCATTATTGGGTGGGGAATTAGTGGGTCTTATCACCTGAAGATGTCTTGAATACCATTATTTTTTACCTAAGTGGATAAGTGGAAAAGATTCCGGGGATAAGAAATTTATTAGGGTTTGAGAAAGTCGTCTGGTTACGCGTAAATCTCTCATCCCCGGAAGTGCTCTGCACCAATTGTTTTGGCTAACGGGGATATCACTGTGATATATATTTCGTCACAGGAAAACATAATAAATTATGAGAGCTTTTGAGTTTGAGGGATATAAATTATGGAGGTTTTACTGTAAATAAGAGTGGTGACCATAGCACGTAATCTACTACGGTATATGGGATTTGACCTAATAACCTGGATCCTCGCTGGGCTTGGAGTTGACCACTGATTCTCTTGGGATTAATTCAACCCTGTAGGAAGTGCTATTGGCAGGAGGAAACATTATTTGGCCTTGTCTACCTGGAGAGTGCATCATGTCTTTGAACAAATTAAAATCCCAGCAAAATGGTGAGTTTGTCACATTACCTTCATGGATTTGACGCGAGTCATGACACACACACACACACGTACACTACATCAACAAGATAGTTATTCGCTTAATATTACAAGAATGTCTGGATTGAGGTTAACATCATTACCTGATAGTCGAGCTGCATGAGCGATCGACCTTCGTTGGTACATCTGCGAGCCCCGGCAAAGCCCTCTAGGAGTGTGCGGTTGGTGATGCGCACGATACACTCCCACAGTGCTGTACAAGCTTCACTGGGTATGGGGCTCACACGACTCATCTCCTCCAGACGCATGCTTAACACCTGCACCACCAGAGAGAAAACATGAATTGGTTCTAAAAGTAAAGTAATGGCCAGTCAAACATCCACTTACCAGACATCAATCTAACGTTATATGGAGGTTTTACATCTACCAAACCCCGATATAATGGACTACACCCTCCCATATACCTGTAGTCCATTAAATAGGGGTCTCACTGTAGTAAAAAAAAAAAGAAATTATATATATAAAGAAAACTGTGCTGAAAAAGTATGACACAGTGGACAAAACATTTGAACAACCCTACCAAGACAACAGGAGCCACCCCCCCCCACCCCCCATGTACAAATAGTTTTTTGAATAACTGTACAGTACATTATATAATAAGTTACCAGTTGAGACACAACTACTGTACTGTATATACTTATATATATATAAATTACTTTATTTTGAGACTAATGTAATAAGTTAAGTTACAGTTTAGATAAAAAGCTTAAAATGCACAAATATATCCATACAAGGTTTACAATCTCTCAATAAAGTAATGTAATGAATACAGTAAACCCTTTCAATAGTGGACACCTCACTAAGAGACTCCACCCAATAATGGACAAGGTTTGTAAGAATCAGTATGGTGTTGGGGGGTTGACTGTAGACATTACATTACTTTATTGAGGATCGACGTTAAAATAAGTTGACTGTACCACACCTGAAGTTGTCTGAGCAACACATCAACGTACTGACTGTGTTGGCTCATAAGATCATTAATGTCCCACTTGACACTCCCCATACAGTTCAAGATCCCATCATAATCTATGACCTGAGCCGCCACTGCTGTGTAAACGTGCTGGCGAATCTGAAATACATACATTTATTAATTACAATTTATTTAACGTATGAACAGTATCTATCGGTACTCTATATTCATGTGCTAATCTGTTATCATCACATTTAGAAGCTGTTCATTCTCTCATTACTTTCTCTTTTTTCTACTATATCTCCTCTTTTATTCTCTTTCATTTGTTTCCTTCTTTGTGTTTTTAATTCATATAAGTTCCTTCCAGAATAGATTTACTTCTCTTTATTAAAACTTTGTGACAAACTTTTACACAATGGTTAATCTGATCTTTATCCTCTGCCTTTCATTACCTTTAGTTTCTTCCTACTTTCTTTATCATCTACCTTTAATTACCTTTAGTTTCTTCCTACTCTCTTTATCCTCCTCCTTTCATTTGTCACTCCTTATTTACAGTTGGGGAAGTGAAGGCAGTCAAGTGCAGTACCATCCATGGTGTCTCCTTGTGCACCAAAAGGGTTAACAAACTGTGTTCTTTATCTACACTGTTCCTTCTGGAGAGTCAGGCCCATGGGACCCACTTTCACTTCTTCCACAATACAATGGTTGCCCCTTGTGTATGAGGATGGCCGGCCCGAGGGGCACCTAGGTGTGAATTTGTTAAAGGTGTAGAAGCTGTCACCAACACAACAACCACACCCTGAGTTAACAAGCTGCATGACCCAGTGTCAAGGAATAGTCCAAGATAACCAGACAACTCATCAACTGCACTGGCTAACCATTACCCCGAAACACCATCTGCAAATTGATTAACATCCAGGTCCCCAATTACAGCTGGGTAGACAGAGGCAAGTGGTGTAAAAAAAAATCTTGTTTACACACACATGAATGCACGCTCCATGCCTTTAGTTCATTTGTACTTTCTTCTTTTTTGGTAAATGAACACACATAAGACAGGTTACCAACCACACACACTAGGAGGGGAGGCAGACCTAGCCCTGATACGGTGACCTGCTCACAGAATGGTATGGATGGATGGTTGGTATGGATGGATAGATGGATGGTTGGTATGGAAGGATGGTTGGCATGGATGGTTGGTATGGAAGGATAACTTTGAACAAGCACAAACCTCGGGAGTGATCTTAACAGTGCCGGTGTAGAACTGTTGAAGGAAGGTTCTACGCTGTTGAGGAATGAGAGGTTCAATGTGACAGTGTAGAGCCTCCAGCTGGGCCGCCAGGAAGGCCAGACTCTCTACTGCCACCACCCTCACCGGCAGACCGTATATGCTCTCGGAGGATGTTATGTCCACCACCGGGGATAAGGAAGGACTCTCCACCTGGTGGTGAAGAGAAAAGACTGTAGGATAAAACCCTGACAAACGTAATACAGTATTGTACTGTACTGACGTAACATAAAGGTGATGACCAGCTGCTAATATTAGGTACACTTTTACTGGACTAAGATTACATCAATACACAATCTTCTGTAAAATTTCTATAAAAAATTCACAAAAGATGTTTTTTAGTGTAGAAAAAATATGCATTAGGCTGTATAAAGTTGTTTTTACCTTTATATAAATATTATCCCGCCTTTACTAACATTTATTGACAGTAAGTTGGTTAATTCATAGTGTCTGGCTGTGAGAACCTTCTCCTGGCCATTACACTACACTGTACTGTACTGTACCACTATCTCAACTTGGCTATCATAAACTTTCTCTTCAATTTTCAGAGCTGTCATAGGCATAATTTTTTTTTTTAGAAGTTCTGACCTTGTCCTGATCTGAAGGTTCCTCCTGACACGCCTCAGGGTTGAGAATTAACGTATCTTGTATTCTTTTGAGTGACCCTCGTAGACGCCGGCTTGGGTTCTGCTCCAGGTCTCCCCTTTGTTGGTGAGTGAGGAAAGAAAAGTGAGTCTGGTGCATCAACACAGGGCAATTATACATATATGGAAGAGAGAGAGAGAGAGAGAGAGAAGGGGGGAGACAATGATAATTCCTTTGGGTTCAGCCATACACTCAAGGAACCAATGTATTTTTGGCTAGACAGACAGATAGACCGATAAACAGAAATACAGACAACATAACAATACTAGTAAACACACATAAAACAAGTTAACTCTTGGAACAATCTGCCAGAGAGTGTTGTGACGGCACCAAGTGTGAGCTCTTACAAGACTAGACTTAACCAACACTGGAGCGGGTTCAGGTACATTCAGGAGCCGGTGCATGCCCAGTACTTGCCAACAGTGCGTAACAGAGACGTGACCGATGGCCCAAGTGGCTAACGAGTCGATCAATTGGTGAAGAGGATAAAAAAAGTAAAAAGTGATATGCTTCTTCCCCAAAGAACATGAATCAATCAACTCAAGTATTACCTGACACCAAAGAACATGAAGACACTGTACAGGTAGTAGTCGAAGAGGTGACTAAGGCAGATCATCACATCAAAGGCTATAGGTTGTAGTAATTTCATCATCTGGATGTACTTGCCGATGAGTCTCAAGATGGTGAGTGTAGTGTTGGTCACTATTGACGTCTGGAAAGGAACACAATTTGTTAACTTATATCCATAATAGTGTAGTGTACTGTAGTGTAGTGTAGTGTAGTGTACTGTAGTGTAGTGTAGTGTAGTGTACTGTAGTGTAGTGCAGTGTACTGTAGTGTACTGTAGTGTAGTGTAGTGTACTGTAGTGTAGTGTCACATATTATATAAATTAACAAAGGTGGATCCATTGTGGGCTGCTCACCACACTACTGTATACTGTACTACAGTATATTAACTATATATTTACACTACAGCTACAGTATATTAACTGTTTATTTATTATACATTAAGCATATAGAAGTAATGTATACAGAGCTTGAGTACAAATGTCAGGTTAATATTGACGACTAACCAGCCGATGCGTTATTTGTTTTGTTTATATTCTTATCACATTTTCATCAGTTAGTTGCGATATAATAATCATGTGTTGGACAAATGCTTCATTAGGCACCTGGGTGTACTACTCTGTCTACCTCGCCACAACCCAGATATAAACAGCCAATTATATTGACGTATTTCAAAACACTCCAATGCGCCTCGCTCCGATCGATGCCTACGCTCGGTGTACTCAATGTGCCGCACAGACCTGGCAGCCACTCTACAACAGTTTTCACTATAAAACACAGTGAAATAATGTCGTTTTTAAGATTGTTTTATATATAAAATTGGCTGCAGGTCAGTCATCAAATGTCTGTGTACAGAGCCAAATGACTTAAATAAACCCGCTACTCTTTTTGTCGAAGCTCTGAGAGATAATTATCTGCTCCAACATGTTAGAGACCCGACACATTACAGAGGGGAGCAAACACCCAAGCCACTAGACCTCATCATAACAAACGAGGAGGGTATGGTGGCCAAACTGGAACACCTTGCCCCAGTTGGCACCAGTCACCATGTAGTGTTGTCATTCAGATTTAACTGTTACCTAGTTCAGGTTAAGGCCAGGCCAAGGTGCAAATATTACAAAGAAAATTACAACGGGATGAAGGAAGAGATGAGGGGTACCCACTGGCCTGACTCATTAAGGCACAAGAGCGCAGACACTACTCTGAATATCATAACTAGTAAAGTGACCCTTTTGATTGATAAGTATATACCTAAGACCAAACTCAGTGCCTCTAGGAATGCGAGGGGATCCCTACACATGAACCATGCGGCGGTCGACAAAGTTAGGAAGAAAACCCAGAAATTCAAGACGTGGGTTGGGTCAAACGATGAGCAGGACAGGAGGATGTATGCAAGACCTGGGAAACCAAGCAAAGGCAGAGGGTAGAAGGGCTGAAAAGGAGTTCCAGAGGCTGGTTGTAAGCGAGGTAAAGTCAAACCCAAAGGCGTTTTACCACTATGCAAAGTCAAAATTAAAAACGTGAGTAGGAGTATCAGACCTGAGGCTTGAAGATGGTAGTTATGCAGATCCTGTCCAAGATAAAGCTGAGGCATTGAACAGCTTCTTTTCCTCTGTGTTCACAAAAGAGGATGAGATTAATCTTCCTGCATTTGAGGACAGACAGTTCGACACAGCACTGACCCACATTGTGTTCACAGAAGACGGTATAAGAAATAAACTGTCAAAGTTAAAGGTCCATTAGAGTCCCAGCCCTGACATGGTGCACCCCAGAGTGCTAAGAGTGCTAAGAAGACTTTCTACATGACTGCAGTGTGTGGTGATTAATGGCACGAAATCGTCATCCGTACCTGTCACAAGTGGGGTACCACAGGGCAGTGTATTGGGCCTGCTGTTGTTTGTTTGTTTCATAAATGACATGCCTGACGTTGTACACTACTCCATACAAATGTTTGCGGATGACGCTAAGTTATTTAGGGAAATTAAGAACCAAGTGGACTGTGAAGAGCTGCAGAAGGACCTCCAAGAATGGTCGAAGAAATGGCTGCTGAGATTCAATGTCCCGAAGTGTAAGAAGATGCACCTGGGGCGTACCAACGGTAAGGAGGCGTATCATATGTCCCAACGGGGTGAAGAAACGGCACTAGTTGAGACTGAATGTGAGAAGGACCTAGGTGTGTATGTTGACAATGAGCTGAAGTTCTCGGGCCATTGCAAGAAGGTAAATCAGGCAAATAAATTATTGGGTCTTATAAGGTCATTCAGATATCTAGACGGTCCGTCCCTCGTAACGATCTTCAAGAGTGAATTGCTTCCCCATCTGGAGTACTGTCACCCCGTCTGGTCCCCGAGATATGCTAGGGACTGTCAGTTGGTTGAAAATGTCTAAAGGAGGGCCACCAGACTGGTGCCTGCACTTCGGCACCTCAACTACCCTGAGAGATTGGAGGGCCTGAACTTGCTTAGCTTATACTAGACGGACAAGGGGCGACCTAATTGAGGTGTATAAGCATCTCAAGGGGCACTACTCAGTCAAATGTCCTTACTTGGAGCTGGCAGACGCTCGCCCCACAAGGGGTCACAGCTCAAGGTTAAAGAAGCCGCAAGGCAGGATAACTGTGAGGGGTAATTTTTTTAGTGAGAGTTGTGAACTCTTGGAGCAATCTGCCAGAGTCTGTTGTGACGGCACCGAGTGTGAGCTCTTACAAGACCAGACTTGACCAACACTGGAGCAGGTTCAGGTACATTCAGGAGCCGGGGCATGCCCAGTACTTGCCAACAGTGCGTGACAGAGACGTGACCGATCGCCCAAGCGGCTAACGAGCCGATCAGTGGTGAAGAGGATAAAGTAAAAAAGTAAGTAAACAAAATGTGTGTAGAGAGCAGAGAGGGGAGTCCACACACAAGGTGTTAAAATAGTTCACAATTCTATTTATTAACAAGAAAGTGTCCTTCAGTAAGATCACTACAAAAGTTCACGTATAAAGCCAGCAGTTATTGATCACTTCATTATACTGTACTGTATTGTATTATGGTATATTTCCATAAAAATAGAAATGCTGAGATATTATTGAAATTTGAAGCATTTTAACTGCCTTAAAAATGTGCTGGTGATGGGCGAGCAGGTTGGGTCGAAGTAAAAACAAGGTATCATTACAGTAGAGACGACAGGTCGCACCTTCCCGTGATCCAGCTTCCGTCGCGGGTGAGGCTGAGGCAGTTCTCCCGTCTGTTCGTCTACAAAGTCTCTCTTGAGCTCGTCGGGCACGTCGTCATCGCTGTCGTCATCGCTGAGGGTCAACGGTTCCCCGTTGGCCATAATGTCTTCTTCAATAGTTTCTTCAGCAGTTATATCAAAGGGTGAACTCTCTCTACTGAACAGGTCAAACACATCTTTGTTTCCTGTAAGAGATGACAATGTGTGAGTCAGCACACTCAGTAACTGTCACACAGAAAATGTGACAAATTAATATTTGTACCATAAGACAGGCTGCATCTTTGATTGGGAGAGAGATGCCACTAGTGCTGTAGTTGTAAAGTACAGTACAGTAATTAAATAAATTTACTTGAGTACTGTACTCAAGTAAAATTTTTGGGTATTTACTTTTTAAAAAGTACTGTACTAATTTTTTTTAGTACTTTTACTTAAGTATTGTTTTCTAATATTTTTCCTCCAATACAATTGAAAAACAAAAACCATTACTTGTTACATGCAAACTAATACATAATATATATTCTTTAAAATAAATTAATTCATTATTAACCATTGTCAAAGAGTTGTGTGGGTGGAGGGTGTGGGTGGAGGGTGTGGGTGGACACCACACGGTCACATACCTAGAGGTCTCGTGGGGTGAGGTGATGTCAGGTGGCAGTGGCCATGACAACGGACTTTCCCTTTGATCTTCTTTTGTCCATTAACCCTTTACCACCCAGCCTACCCTCTTATCACCCCCCCCCCATAGAATCCACTCTCTTCTCCCCACCTTTCCATTAGATGTCAGTTGCTCTTTACATATACTTGTACCCAAAATTAATTTTAAAGAGGCTGCAATTTTAAAATGCTTTACATAATTCCATCTTAGATAAAGCCTTTACAGTATCTATACATATGTGTGAGATGGAGTGTATTTAAAATCCTGCTTAAATAATTACCCGGTAAGTAACCCCAGCCAGATGTTATGTGATGTGAAAAGTTCAGCCACTCATCAATTATAATAAAAAAGTGACATCACCACAGACACACCCTCAATTAGAGGGACAGTTCACGGCGAGTCATTTTAGTCAGACTCGGTCACTATTGGAGGCAACAAGCATCCACACACAGGAGCTTGATAGCTACTTGGCATGCCCAGGGGGTGGAATGGAGGCACTGTACTGAGGTCTTTCCTGACATTATGTGACTTATCTCCTCAGCCTAACACCCCACTACCTGCCTCTGCTGCTTGTGAGTATCTGTTTAGTCATGCTGGTGTTATTATTTAATTAATTTATTACACCCCAGGGGTCAACAAGCCTAGTCACATGACCATGTAGTGACGGGTCAGACACTAATACGTACATGTACACTGGTACTTGTGTCTCGCAGGACACGCTATGATTTGTGATATGGAGACAATGATGGTATGATTTAAGGACAGTTGGAGTTAGCACCACCAAAGTGTGGGTAGCGTACAAGAATTAAATCTAAATTATTACGAATAAGTAGGTGGTGATATATAGCGACTCTCCCTGTGGTAGGAGGTCCCTGACAGTGGGACAGTCAAGGCAGTACAGTAGTGTTGAAGGGTGTCAGTGTTGGGACAGTTACACAGCTTACAGGAAGAGAAGTGCAGGTCATCCCTTGCCTCAGATACTTGCCAGATAGGTCTGTATCCTAACCTAATGCCAGCAGAGACAACATTATGTCTACGGACCACGAGTCACGTTGACGATACTTGTGTGGATGTGGAAGAAAGAGATCGTAGTGTTGGATGGATATATAGTCAGCCCATTCACCATCCCTGTAGGGGGAAGAGCGGCTGAATGTATCCTCTTTCAGTAGGTCAAGCTGGGATTCTATTTAGGCCTAAAAGATCCTGATTGGACAGCCATAATTTTGAGAATCAGTTATTGAATAATATTATAAGAAAGATTTACAAATAAACCCGTGTAATGTTGTGTGTCTTTTACTGTTATCTTTAGTGAACTTGTTTATAATTTACTGTTGATTTATTTTATTATTTGAGACTATTAATAATTTTTGTGTTACTTTTTACTTTCCATACTTGAGTACTTTATGAATGAGATACTTTTTTTACTTCTACTTAATTACTTAATACTTTTACTTAAGTAACAAAGTCCGGTACTTTTTACAACTCTGACTGTAGTGTAAAGTAAAGATGAGTCTCTCTTACAACTGAAAAGGTTGTCATTAACACGGCAATGAATCATTAACACAGTGTGATAACTGTCCACTTTTAACAGCAGGGCCTCTACAGTGCAGTACAGTAGAGGCTCCACAGTGTCATCAGGACAGGACACAGCATAACATTATCAGTGGTGGTGCTTGGGCAGACTGTCACTTGACATGGCCCTACATAACTCACCTCTCCTGTGTGACCAAGACACTCAAGGTCACACACACACAAAGGCAGATTTGCAACAGGCTTATAGATGTATAACTCCTGTTGGCAATATGGAGAACCAGTCCCTCAGCACACAAGTACTGTAGTCTAGTCAAATTAGCTCAAAAGTAAACAAACCGCGGAAATTATTTTATATTAAGATGAAATTTTGCATACATACTCCTGAAGGCTAAAGAGACAAAGATCAAAAGAGTTCCCTCCATCTGGGGGGAGCAGCCCCCTTTTGTGGCCCCAAACGCATCCCACCCCCAAGAGGGTTCCGCTTACTTTTTTTCATTTTCCGGTTAAACTATGCATCACACGATAATATTCCATAAAGACAAAAATACTGGAAATAAGTATTAGGCTGTTAGGTTAGTGTTAGGCTGTTAGGTTAGTGTTAGGCTGTTAGGTTAGTGTTAGGCTGTTAGGTTAGTGTTAGGTTAGGGTGGTTAATCTTTAGGTGATATAAGCTGGGGTGGAGATTCTTTAGGTTATTATACATTACCTGACAACTGTCCAGCTGACTTCTTGCTCGGGGAAGAACTCGGTGAAGTAATTCTGGTAAAGTTTACGTCTTTGCCCTTGAGGAACCTGTACTCCATCAACTGGTGTATGGAGAAGGTGGACTTGACCGGACACGCCTCCCACCCCTCGTTCTCCAGAAACATGTGCAGTTCCTCCATCCTCGCTCGGTGGTGATTACGGAAATAATTTATTGACTGTTTCTTGATGGACTCTCGCAGCGTCTCTGACTTACTGCCGCAGAAAGATTCTCCGACGTCGATTAGTTTGTTGATGACGTCTAATATTCTCAAGAAATCGTCAAATTTGAAGTGCGAGAGATCCGACGCCAGTATAAACGTGCGCACCTTGGCCTGCACGTCCTGCCATAACCTGTACAGTCCGTGCTCTAACTTCTGCTTGGCGTACTTCCTGGAGGTGGCCGCCTCGGTGTTTCCCTCTCCGTCGCTCGAGTCGTCTTCCTCGGCCACTTTCTCTTCATTTTCGTGCCATTTTATAATGTTTCTGTAACTCTTTAAGACGTTCCACATACACTTACTTAGATCTAAGAGACAGGGCAGGAAGCTTTCCTCATTTACATATTTACAGAGTTCTGAATATTGTAACTTGGAGAAGGACGATCCCGAGCCAGAGGTGTTGTTGTACAGCTCCACGTACCCCAGGACGATGGTGAACGCCGAGTTGTGGATGTGAGACGTGAGGTGCATGTGTAACTGGTCCATCAGGGTCTGCGTCTTGCCCAGGAGGCCGTAAGCAATTTGAAGTTTTTCGTAATTTGCCGAGTTAAAGTTAGCGGCGACCCTGGCCAGAGCCACATCCAGTTGTTCTTCCGCTCCTTCTAAAGTGTCTTGAAGTTTTGTGCTTAACTCCGATATACAAGTAAAGTGTTTGAAGGTGGCCGCAGCTTTCTGACACTCTAGCAGCAGCTGTATCGCTCCGGGGTAATCCTCAGCTTTCAGTAAACTCTGCAGCTGCACGTCCGTCATCTGCAGAGTTCTTATCATCCTCAGAGACCTGATGACACTGGCAATCTTCTGCCTTTTGCTGTAATTTGCCAGAATACCCAGACTGGCGGAAGTGAACTGACTCCTACCCTGGGCCAACTTGTTACGGCCCTCGACACACAGACTGACGCCTTTTATCACTTCCTTCTGTAACTCTGTCACTCGCTCCATCTCTTTACTACACAGACCTTGTTTCTGCATGATCAGGTCAGACACTCTCCTCGACACAATAGTCTGTTGTTTTCTCAGCCTGGACCTCATGCCGTTAATAATATGGACATCGGCAACATCAGGGAACTTCTGTAGCTCGTGTTCCCCCACGTCTACATTACCACTTTCAAAATAGAGAGATTCTATACTATCTATGACGGCTTGTTCAGCTTGAGGAGTGAGGAGGTGGTCCTTGAGCCCCGAGGCCGACCTCAGGAACTGGGCGGTAACGGCTGTCCTTCCCTCAAACTCATCTGAAGTGACAAACTCGGCCGCCTGAACTGGTGCCTTCAGGGATATCTTTTGCTTATCAATGAATGATTTCAACTTTTCCTTGATATCCATCTTGGTTTTGTCTTCAGTGGCCAAGAGGATAACGTGACGGCCAAGAGATAACGTGATGTATCAGTGGCCAAGAGGATAACGTGATGTATCAGTGGCCAAGAGGATAACGTCACACATTAGTGGCCAAGAGGATAACGTGACGTATCAGTGGCCAAGAGGATAACGTGACGTATCAGTGGCCAAGAGGATAACGTCACACATTAGTGGCCAAGAGGATAACGTGACGTATCAGTGGCCAAGAGGATAACGTCACACATTAGTGGCCAAGAGGATAACAGTGGACGTATCAGTGGCCAAGAGGATAACGTGACGTATCAGTGGCCAAGAGGATAACGTCACACATTACCAAGAGGATAACGTGATGTATCAGTGGCCAAGAGGATAACGTGGCATCAGTGGCCAAGGGGATAACGCTACACACGTGTCAGTGGCCAAGAGGATAACGTCCAAGAGGATAACGTGAACAGTGAGCGTATCAGTGGCCAGGACGTCACACATTAGTAACGTGATGTATCAGTGGCCAAGAGGATAACGACGTAGTCGGTGGCCAGAGGATAACGTCACATTAGTGGCCAAGAGGATAACGTCGGCCAAGAGGATAACGTCACACAGTACACGCCAGAGGATAACGTCACACAGTAGTGGCCAAGAGGATAACGTCACACAGTAGTGGCCAAGAGGATAACGTCACACATTAGTGGCCAAACGTCACACAGTAGTGGCCAAGAGGATAACACAGTAGTGGCCAAGAGGATAACGTCACACAGTAGTGGCCAAGAGGATAACGTCACACAGTAGTGGCCAAGAGGATAACGTCACACATTAGTGGCCAAGAGGATAACGTCACACAGTAGTGGCCAAGAGGATAACGTCACACAGTAGTGGCCAAGAGGATAACGTCACGTCACACAGTAGTGGCCAAGAGGATAACGTCACACAGTAGTGGCCAAGAGGATAACGTCACACATTAGTGGCCAAGAGGATAACGTCACACAGTAGTGGCCAAGAGGATAACGTCACACAGTAGTGGCCAAGAGGATAACGTCACACAGTAGTGGCCAAGAGGATAACGTCACACAGTAGTGGCCAAGAGGATAACGTCACACATTAGTGGCCAAGAGGATAACGTCACACAGTAGTGGCCAAGAGGATAACGTCACACAGTAGTGGCCAAGAGGATAACGTCACACAGTAGTGGCCAAGAGGATAACGTCACACAGTAGTGGCCAAGAGGATAACGTCACACAGTAGTGGCCAAGAGGATAACGTCACACAGTAGTGGCCAAGAGGATAACGTCACACAGTAGTGGCCAAGAGGATAACGTCACACAGTAGTGGCCAAGAGGATAACGTCACACAGTAGTGGCCAAGAGGATAACGTCACACAGTAGTGGCCAAGAGGATAACGTCACACAGTAGTGGCCAAGAGGATAACGTGACACAGTAGTGGCCAAGAGGATAACGTCACACAGTAGTGGCCAAGAGGATAACGTCACACAGTAGTGGCCAAGAGGATAACGTCACACAGTAGTGGCCAAGAGGATAACGTGACGTATCAGTGGCCAAGAGGAGTGTGGCCAAGAGGAGTGTGGCCATCAGCTGATCAGGTAAATAAACACTGATGACTTTGTTGATGCTTAGAGTTAACAAGACAAAAACAATAATTATTTCCAAATTACTAATAATTATTTTAAATATATTATATATATCTTAAAAGACTAATAATTATACGGGATATATATTTATTAATATATATTTCTCAGTTGTAATTTTTTTAATACTCTCTTAATAAAATTTTTAAATATAAATTAAATGATAAATAATATTAAACTCATAGATACATATAGTAAGAGATGATTATAGGTTTTATTTTATATAATAATAATAAAGAACCAAGGTGACAGACACGTGGTCAGCGTCAACGTTCCAATAATATAATCCAGTTCATCAAACTTACCAAAATAGTTTAATAATTCCAAATATGAATCAATTATCATAGAATATTTTTGTTAATAAAAGATAATATTTAAATAATTACATATTTGTTTTAATAATTTTTTTTTTTTAGAGGAAGATATATGAGTGATAGTGATGATGAGTCAGTGAGGTGTCAGTGGTGGAGGAGGCAACACACGACTCGTCCGCTCTCTACACCATGAACTGTCTTGTACTGGTATTAGCTGCTCTCGTGGCTGTGGTCACTGGTAAGACCCACTATAATACAGTTAATATATTAATTCTTGTCATAATAACAGTTGTAGACTCAGGTAACCCAGGTGTTCAAGAGCTGTCACGTCTTTAATTATGGTAGACAAGTTTTTTTTACTGTGAATATTTAATTAACTGTTATAATTCACTGTTTTTATTTTAATTATTTTTTTTCAGGTGAGACTTGTACAGGTGCACAGGTAGAGGCTGTGGGGTTCACCTCCCAGGATGCTACTATTGTTACCAAGATTGCTTACATTGCTGACTTTACTCTCTCCTGTTCTAATGGTGCTAAGGTGAATCTTTTTTATTAATATAGTATAATATATAAGTTATTAATACAGTATAATATATAAGTTATTAATACAGTATAATATATAAGTTATTAATACAGTATAATATATAAGTTTCCAGGTGGTCAGGTAGGGTCATCTCTGGTCAGGTGTTGAGCCTCTGTAACTGCTTTCTATTTTATAACACTAATATTGTATTAGTAAATGTAATTAAATTTATCCTTTTCTTACAGGACATTTCCTTGTATGCTGAAACAGTTGATGGCATCGTTGGAGTAGCTCGTTCTGTTGATGGGGTCAAGTACCAAGTTAGTCATTAACTTTATTTCATCGATTCATTATAAATATATGTAGTGTATGGAGTTGTCTTATTTATGCATTGAAGACTAATGTAACGATTTTATATTACATGTATATATAAATTTACAGTCTGACACATGGCCTCACACTTTAGTCTGACACCTGGCCTCGCACTTTAGTCTGACACCTGGCCTCGCACTTTAGTCTGACACCTGGCCTCGCACTTTAGTCTGACACCTGGCCTCGCACTTTAGTCTGACACCTGGCCTCGCACTTTAGTCTGACACATGGCCTCACACCTCAGTCTGACAAATGGCCTCACACCTCAGTCTGACACCTGGCCTCACACTTCAGTCTGACACCTGGCCTCACACTTCAGTCTGACACATGGCCACACACTTCAGTCTGACACATGGCCTCACACTTCAGTCTGACACCTGGCCTCGCACTTCAGTCTGACACCTGGCCTGCGCACTTCAGTCTGACACCTGGCCTGCACTTCAGTCTGACACCTGGCCTCGCACTTCAGTCTGACACATGGCCTCACACTTTAGTCTGACACCTGGCCTCGCACTTTAGTCTGACACCTGGCCTCGCACTTTAGTCTGACACCTGGCCTCGCACTTTAGTCTGACACCTGGCCTCGCACTTTAGTCTGACACCTGGCCTCGCACTTTAGTCTGACACATGGCCTCACACCTCAGTCTGACAAATGGCCTCACACCTCAGTCTGACACCTGGCCTCACACTTCAGTCTGACACCTGGCCTCACACTTCAGTCTGACACATGGCCACACACTTCAGTCTGACACATGGCCTCACACTTAATATGAACAAAAATTACTTGAAGGTCAGACACCCCAGTACTGTGTTAATAACTCGTCGTGATGCTTGGCAGGTGAGCTGGGTGGAGGATGTAGCCACTGCATCGTCCGGTGAGCGCCCCATCAAACTGTACGACGAACAAGGTTATGCCTCCCTCAGAAAGGTAAAAAACACAGTTGGCAGTCTGGTTTGTGTTGATGTGTTTAAGTGTAATAATATCAAGGTGTTTTGTCTGGTAGTTGATGAGTGTGTGTATGGAGGTCATAGTGATGTAAACCTTCGAAGATCCGGATTGCGGAAGTTTCGGCCCAGAACGTTGGGGTTGTGGACCAAGAAGCATTCTCTAAAGAGGGTGAAGGTAGTTTTAGGCTTTGTTTTTATCTTATAAAATGTCACTGACTGGCTAAACTTAGCAGAATATAACTTGCATTGCTGGAGTCCTTGTAAGATGGTGAATAATTTGAGTTTAGACATCACATAGTTTGCACAAGAGATAACATTTTTAGTCCTTTAGCATAGTACTGTACATTTGAGTACAAGGTAAGTATAGTAATATGTTGCTCCAAATTATGTTTGTTTGTTTTTTTCATGAAAAAGTCTGTATAACTAACCCCAGTAGTCAGGATAATATGTACTGTATTTTTTGTGTTTTTAATGTAATTTTTACACATTTGCCGGAGGATTCGGACATTCGGCTTTTTCGGACAGGTGGTCCCAATTTTAGTCCTGATCTTCGAGGGTTCACTGTACTGGTATATTTGCTCTCTCTCATTTTTGCATGTACGTGAGTGTTTCAGCGAGCGCCTCGTGGTGTAAAGTGTTTTGTTTTTCCATATACAGGTTTTATTTTTATCTCCCATTGTCCTCACATGTGTTGGTGCTCTACTGGTTCATCGCTTTTAAGGATTTGGCGTTTGCTTCAATTTAACTTTTTCTTTGTGTGTATTAAAATATATATATAAAGACCTGATTATTGCGCGCACACACGTACAATTGTGTGAAGTTTGCAAATCACAACAGTATTGTGACTTATTAGAAGAGGTTGTAATATTAGGTAATGTGTACTGTATATAAAGGAGGATTTATGCTGATGTTCTTCCTCAGGCTCAGCGAGGGAGTGAGGACACCTCCAGCGTACAGGCAATTGCTACCATCAACCTGTATCATCCAGTAAGTAGAAATACCTGTACTACTGTGTGTGATTACTTTGGATGTATATTCCTCCAGCGGCAATCCGCGTATTTGCAAATCCGTGTAAGTTAAACCCGCGTATGTTAAGGGCCGACTGTACAGTAAAGCCTCGAATAACGACGGTAATGTGTCTTCCAATATTACAGTGTAAGGTGAATCATCGTATCGTGAATCATTAATTACCATTAAAATAAAGCAATAATAATGAGATGCTTTCCCAAGTGTGACCTTTTCATATCTTTTGTGTGGTTTTTTACCCTCTTTTCCCCAAAAACAATACAATTAATGAAAAATACAAACTACATTCTTTAAATAATGTTTCTGAATGCACCTTATACAATATAAATGAATAATGATATGGTCACACAAGAGGAGATGGGGCGCCAATGTTGTTGTCAGTGTTTACGTCCGGGACGATGGTTCTACAAGAAAATAAGACCCTGGTTGTAGCTGTAGTGAACTTAATGTAAAAAATGAATACCTGTATGTATGTTTTAAGTAATGTTATTTAATGTTAATAAATGGAACAATAGAAGTAGCTAACCACTAATGGTAAAGAAATAAAGAGACGAATCGGAACGCCAACGTGTGTAAGTAGGTCATTTTCATTTTTCATGGTCGTGTTAATTTTAATGCTTCGTTCTGTTAATGGATCCACTTCGGAAAATATGTTCATTGTTTGCTCTATATAATATCCGCAGACCTCTCACCTTTTCATATCATTTTAACACATCTAGTTTCTTGGCTAAGCTTATGCACTTTCTATTAGCTTTTGAAACAACACTACCATCACTTGCCCTCTAGCTCATGTTGAATAGGGAAGCAAAAATTCCGTAAGAAACCCGAGAAAGTTTTTCTCCTGTTCAGATGTGTGAAAACAAAAGGCCCGGCAGCCTCCTTGTCCAAGGCATTTTTTTTTATAACGCATCAGGATTAAGTTATATGAAAATTATTATTTTTTATATTTTCATTGTAAATACGAATAAAATAATGGCGTAAATTGAATTGGGTCCTAAATTAACCAGGGTCTTAAATATGAATCGTTGTTAGTAGAGCCGTCATTATCGGAGGCTTTACTGTATAGGTATCTCACTGCGCCAATAATCACTTCACGAATGTCATTCAGTGAGCTTAAACCATTCGTACGGTGAGTAATACCTGTATCAGTTTAATCTACAACTCCAAATGTTTTTCTCTTCCAGGGCGCTTACAGGGGTCCATGGGTTCAGTCCGAGACCATGGCTATCCTTGCTGCCATCTTCATTTACTACTATGCTCTCACACAGAAGACCAGGCTCATGGCTTAGTCCTTGAGCTAAACCTGAGAGGTGAATCAAGTTTTGTGTTGGTCATGGAGAAGTGTGAATGTGACAAAGTTGTATAATAATTATTTAGAGCCATTTCATGTGTGAGGAGAAGTATGTATTGTATTGTAAGTGTTAATAAATACTGTACTTTGTTAAAGGTTTGTTTTAATGTTTCCTAATATAGGCTCATTTATTTACTGGACAGCAATGTTTTGGCTGCTTGAAGAAAGAGGCCAACTCTTCCCAGCCAGGACATTATGAAGCAGTTCTTCCATGCAAGATCATAGATTGTTGTATCGTTTATATTGTGAAGGAGGCAAAACAGGTATAGGTTGCTTTTTGTTCATCTTGTGACCTTAGTGACACTAGTAAACTATACTGTAGTGTAGTCCCTAATATCTGGCCATGTTCAAGATTATTGTACGTGGGCTCTCCTCGTGCGGAATCCTCAAGGTAAAGTCTGCCAAAGCCATGGGTGTTGGTCGCTTTCTGTGATACAAGTCATGTGGTTTGTGTGGGACTTGCTCCAGGTCTGCCAACATGGGAAAAAGAGAATGTTGATAAGTCGTACACGAACAGCTGATCACAATTACTGTTAGTTGTGGGCAATAAAAATCAAATAAAGATATAATTAATCAACAGAATTATGTATACTGTATTGTACAAATTTTGTATGCTGGTGAAGAAAGAGTTCACATGTGAGTGAGGTAGAGTGAAGACTTCAGTATCGACCCGATCTAGGCTAATATACTACAAGTATTGACCCCTGACCTAGGCTGGGTATACTACAAGTACTGTATTGAAGTATTTCTTTAATTTTGGATATACTGTACTATCTAATTAATATATCACCAGTAAAAAATATTGACAACTAAGAGCAATCTTCCTGGAGTGTCAAACAACCCTTACTGTAAAGTTAGTTATGGGTAATAAAAGTAAAGATATAATAAATCAGTAGAATTATCAAATGTATCTTCTCTATTAGTTCACACGTGCTGGTGTTAGAGGTGGCCTAAAGACATCAACAAAACTGAAGGGATATTTCTGAGACCTTCATCTATTCACACTAGATTTATGACTAAAGATATTCTAATAGCAATTTGCTGTCCTTTTTTTGTTTGAACTAACCTCATCAATACTCATTTATCTATAGGTAATAGAACATAAACATACCTTGAGGCTTGAATGTGTTGTTGTCTGCAGATGGGTTTCAAATTTGGCTGTCTGATTTCTGATAAACTTGAGGTATCAAATTTTGGGGGTTGAGTAGAAGTGTCTAAACGCTATATCCATCCTTGTCCATCGGCGAAATTCATCATATACAGTAAAACCTCAATATATTGGATTCCTTTTTTTTTTTTTGGGATACTTAAAAACAAAATAATAAATGGGGAAGATTAAAAAAAAATTCTTATGAAATGAACAACACTTTTCATTTTCTCCGTCACCTTGAACGCCTTTCTCTCTTGTCAGATCACCAGTATGGCTTTTGCCAGACGAGATCTACTGGTGCTCTGCTCTCCTACTGCACCCATCTTTGGTCATCCTCTCTTAGGGATTATGGGGAAACTTTCGTCGTGGCCCTCGACATCTACAAAACATTTGACAGGGTATGGCACAAGTCTTTGCTTTCTAAACTTCCCTCTTATGGTTTCTCTCCCCCACTTCATCTAATCTCTAGCTTCTTTAAGAACCGATCCATGGCAGTTGTTGTCGAGGGATCATCTCTCGCTCTTTCTCTACCAATAGTGGTGTCCCACAGGGTTCTGTTCTTTCACCTACTCTCTTCCTTCTTTTTATCAATGATTCACTTCACACTACGACTAATTCTATCTATTCTTATGCTGATGATTCTTCCCTTCCTCCTAATTCTCAAACTAGATCTGTTTCTAGAGCTGATATCATTACATCTATCAATGTGGATCTGTGCAGCATCTCCGAATGGGGAGGTAGAAACTTGGTTAAATTCAATAGTAATAAAACTCGGTATTTATCAATTACACTTTCCAAATTAGATGATCTCGCACCAATCACATTTCAGGACACAAGCATTCTGCTAATTTCTAAAATAGATATGCTTCGCCTTACCATTTCCTCTAATATGTCATGAAAGCCACACATCCTCATCATTGCTGAAGCTGCCTCCCGAAAGTTGGGAATGCCGTACAGATGCCGTAGCTACTTCACTTCAGAGCAGATCATTCATTATCAGGTTCTCCGGTCAGGAGGCAGCTACGCAGTAAAAGAACAGAATTAAAAATAATGCAGTTACGGTATAGCTTAACGATTTTAAAATAAGGATAATGGTACAGGTGCTTCTCGCCTTTCAGAGATACTAACAAACCTGCCCAAGTAACTGTTTGAACCACAAGTCCTAAGTACATCTGCCCATAAACAGTTTATACATTAATATACTGGTAAGATACTGTACTGAACATCATTTATTTTTTTTTACATTAAGTTCAGTATCTACCAAAGTAAAGGTGGACTTCTGAACAAGCCTCAGGAACGTAACTCATTCATATGTAGAGGAGCACCTGTATGATTAACACAACTCAAGCTACTTTGTTGCTTGTTCTAACATTAGTAGGCAGCTATCAAACAGGGAGGTACTACCACCTGGTTAGATATTGGAAGCATAATGTGTTTGTTGTCTAATGGTAGACCCTGCTGCCATAAGTCCCAGGTTGTTGATCTGACTTTCTGCCTCATTTACACACAATTGTAGGGTCTCAATTGTTTCTCTTACTATTTACAACACAACATACATATATTCTTTCCCACTATTGTTTTTTTTGTATTTATGGCTATTATTATTATTTTTTATTTTATTATATTTTTGTCCCCCAGGCCTTGATGTGGGCCATTATAAAATGACCTGTGCCTGGGTGGGCTAATGGTCATAAAAAAAAATCTCTCTCCCCCGGCCAGTAGTCCTCAACGGACACTACTAACATGACCAACAAGTTCAATAACCACAAGCCATCATTCACCTTAATTTGTATGTGTAATAAGACCTTAACACATTACTGTACTGATCTATTACATAATGAAGACCTTATGGTTATGGGTCACACAGGTCACCTGAAGCAAGAAACCATAATTATTACATTATTGAGCAGTCATGTTTGTTAAAAGTATAAATTTGTACACAAGTTCATCAAAATATGTAAACATAGTTCACACACTAATGTAATTACACAAAGGTAATCAACAAAACACACACACACACACATATTCAACCAACCAACACATACATATGGACACTACACAATACAGTACAACAATTATCTAAAATCGATTTAGAAAAAAAATTCTTTATAATATCCTTCACATTTCCATTAACTAAACCTGTGGGTAAGGCTAAAAAAGGCTAATTATCGTTTACATAAAAGTATAGCACAAGAAGTAGTCCTGGAGTTGGAAGGGTTCGTGTGGCAGTAAGCGATGACCCTTACGGAGATATTGAGTGTAACAAAGACTAGTTTTACCTTCATGCAGGATATAGTGAACACTTACCCAGGACATACTTGTGGTAGGATAACCTTAATGAACTGTGACTGTCATGGTTATTTTAACCCTTTATTTTGGGCAGATATACATAACCTTTTTTTTAACCCGGTTTCATGCACACCTATAAACATATTGAAAATAAGAAATAATTATCAGGTCATAAACAGAATCAATATTTCTTTGTATGCCAACCACTGTTAGCAGGCTCAGGGGGGTTACGTTATGGTAATTTTTCAGCTCATAGTTCCGGGTAGCTGTCCAACACTGTACATAATTAATTTTCTTCATTTTTTCTGCTCCGTCATATACGTGCACAATCCTACATACATATTGTGAAAAAAAAGTAAAAGGAATAATTATCATAGAGTAAAAAACATAAATAGGAATAAACTGTGTTATCAGTTCACGCTACTTGGGGAGCGAGAGATCTTGGCTGCTTCTTGCGTGTAGTCAAACGAGCAGCAGCCAAATGGGAATAGACTATTTTTTTTGTTTCATTTTATTTATTATTATTATTTTAATGGACTCCTCACATTTACTGGTATACCTGTATATTATATTATATAGAGTATTTCAGTATCTTATTCCTCATAGGAGTTGGTAACTGATGGGAATTCAGTTTAAAATTGGTAACACTGTTGATAGCATCAGCAGTTGTGGCGGTAGTCAAGGCTAAGACGCTTCGGTGTAAATCTGGTGTGTTGTTTCGAGTTAAGTCTACGATTTTATTTATATATAGACCTCTGATGGTCCGGCTTGGCTCTGGTCCCGAAGGTGCTGTAAAATCCGTGGTAAACCCGTGCAAGAATTCATGCCATTTCCTCAAAACTTTGTAAGGCTGTGTATACATTTATCTAAAACACTGTACATACAAGACAATACAATACTCACTACAGTATATAGTACTGCATTTTTAAGACACTTTCTTGACAGATACATACAAGGTATAAGAATTACACAGTACAGTAAGACCCCTAAGTTGGACTTCCATAAACCCCCATTAGTTGGACTAGGGTCTGGCATCACTCACCCTACACCTCAGAGTCAGAATTGGTGGTAACCCCTGATTTGCCACCTTGCATTCTGGATTCCAACAGTGATTAAACTAAGAAATAAATAATAATTTTAAGTGTAACTGTACACAAATATAAATGAAACTAAATAGTATAAGTGAAACTACAGTAAGGTAAGTGTGACTCCCCTTTATCTTCCAACTCAGATTTGTCTGCTACAGTAATCTCAAAATTCATCTGCTACAATGAAAGCACACAGTAAATAATTCTAATTTTGTTTTTTGGACGTAATTTTTAAGCAAAATGGTGGTAAAAACTACTGGGGGACATAAGTCAGACTAGCTTGAGCCCTGAATAGTCCAACTTAGAGGCTCTTACTGTATATTGATAATGTACTGAACTAGAAGACTATGTAGAGTATAATGATCTACAACCATACCAAGTGACATTATCTGGAGTCTTATTGTAATGTTAAGATAAAGTTACATACATAGTGCAGAGAATCAGTTCTGGCACAAAATCACTGTACTGTACTCCATGTGCCTCATAGAACTTCTTGTATCACTGACACACAAATAAATATCTGTACAACAATGACTAATTTTATGAATATTAATTAAACTACAACACTTCCTATGTTACTGTATTAGTGGCTGTTTTATTGCCGACTTATTTGAAAACTGTTTGGTTTGTGTCTACTAATTGAGTCTACCCAAATTTATACACTATCTGTATCAATAATGTTCAAATAAACAATGAGAAAATTGGTAGGCTATTGAAGACTGAAAACTCTCGTCCTATTTTGTTTGGAGGCGTAACAGTACTTTATTTATGTGATATATAACTAACTAGAGATACATACATATAGTTTTAAGATAACCAAAGTAAACACGGAAAATGGTCATAAAACAATGATTATGTCCACTCGGTAAAAACCATCTTTACAATTCTTGTGCGAAACAAAATGACACCACGAGCGACGGTTTTTGAGGCGTACTGTTATTCACCAATCATACTGTAACAAACTAATTATATATTTTTAATGAAATAAATAAATTAGGCCGACCATAATAGGTAGGAATTGTCTCCCAATCACGCCTACCAACCCTGGCGAGACAACAGGATTGTTTAGTTCCAAATTCATCGGCCCCTTCCTGAAAGACACCTTTTTTACCGAGTGTACATATAGTGTTATGGACATTTACTCCTGCAATACAGTCGTCAACAAGACTATTCCTGCAGTGCTTGACTCAACATCATACTGGCCATCTAGTGTCAAGTCCAGAGTCTGCTCAATAAATCATACAGAACTTAAACAAGAAATACACAGGAAAGAAGAGACTTGGCTCCACCTCCTCCCTCTTTATCAGACATCAAGACCATCATCACTTTAACAATGAAGTTTTAGTATTAACCCTTAAGCCCCGGGTTAGGGTGCTGCTGGCAGTATCTCCTCCTGGGGATAAATTGAGAAAAAAATAAACTTTTCCAAAAATAATAATAAAAAAGGCTGGAACAGGCGGACGTTCTGGACCCGTCACCCGGGGCCTAAGGTTTAAACAGCACCTTTATCAGTAGTGCACGATTCATATGGGGGAGAGAAAGAGCAGGGGATCCATAGCTGCCAGTGAACAGTAGCCCCCCCCCCACTATACTGGAATTGAGATGACCAACCCACCACCTCCTCTTTAAGTGACAAATTTAAACACACGACTTGCCACTTCTTGTCGTGACACACACACACACACGGGACAATGGCTAAATCATATCCCATCAGGTCATATAACACAGTGAGCCTCAGAGAGATACAGTGTATGAGTCATGTATCACTCACCCCACCAGCCAAGTCCTTCACTCTTAGGTTGACAAAAACTGAAAGTATCATCGATCACAAACAGTTGCAGACCACAAAGTTGAGCAAGAGGTTACTATGAGTACCTCAAGGTGTGAAGCTGCACTTGTAAGAGGTTAACAAAAGCTGTAACTACTACTTATAAATAAATTAATATTACTGTACAGTGGCCCTTGTTAACGAATTACCTTCCATAAGAATCTTCAATTCGGTTATTGGTGAAATGACTGCATCAAGCATGGGTCCAAAGAACGGTGATTTCTCCTCCATACCACTTCCTTCTCTTCTCCCTTCTCCTCCACCCCACTTCTAAATCCCACCATCATCAACCAGGAGCCTTCTACATACACACCTCAAAGTAAGTGCACTTTACTGCATTTGTTTTTTACTTCTTATGTACTTTTGTGTGAGCTGGAACCAATTACCCAATATCCCATTGAAACGATGGATTCGGTAAACGAACGACCTTCTGGAACGAATTGTATTCGTTAACCGAGGGACCACTGTACTGTACTTATGAGGCAGATTAGGCCTAAATTAATTAACATTTGTACAAGCATTTCTACTCTTGTATCGTATACCACATGCAGAATTAAAGCATTTTTACGAATATTATAACCTAATTATACTATAGTGCATCTTGAACTTTTTCCAACGTGACCTAAAACTACTGGAGATGAGTCAGTCTTATGTTTGTATATATTGTACTGTGAACCTCACTGATCTGGCAACCTTGGTACCTCAACAGAGCCACATCATATAATTTTCTGGTTTACCTAAAAACTTCAGGGTAAAACTGCCCTATAAAGGCTGTCTCTTATAAAAGTTCAAACACAGGCAGTGGCCTTACAGATTTTTGTTGAGTGTGTGAATAACAGCAACATTGTCCTCACTTGTTGACAATGTTGTTGTAATACAAGTCTTAATGTGATCTTCACAAAGACATGTAGGCAGTGTAGTGTTTACTGTAGACATTTAAGACTGTGTAGTAGTTTATATTCCTTGAGCTCATTAAGTACAGCATTAAGCATTTAAAGTAAAGAAGTGATAGTTGTTTGTTACTTTCTCAGTACTGTACAATATAATGACACAAGGATAATAGATTGAGAAATTAATATTAAAAATATAATTATTTTAAAATGAAGTTGACAAAGTGCCATTGAGCATTGCCATTGTTTTGTAGAAACATCATAAGAACCTGATACAGTACTACATTATTTATGAGTTATAATTCAATCTTTTAAAATTTAGTGTCAACTTGAAGATATTTTTGATCTGTTCTCTTATTTTGTTACAATAACACTTAAGTGTTAGTTACTTAAAAAAAATGGAACACCTAATATTGTATTGACATGACTAATCTAGAGGTTTCTGGACCAAATGAGTTTCTGGTTCACGTACAGTAGCTAAAACAACTATCTGTGCAGGAGGGGGTCGATATGCTCCCAAATTTTTCGTGTGACTAGTGACATCCCTCCGTGTGACTAGTGACAGCCCTCATATACCAATATTTATCGTCCATGGTCTCATATTGTTTCCCACAATGTATGCACAGATAGTTCTTTTAGCTACTGTACATCTGGATAAAGGAAGTTAAGTCTGTAAACACAGACACTGTACTGGGTGTTTTTAAGTCCCTAGGCATCTACAATAATAATTAACATTATATTATAGTCATATCTTGTTCTGCCTACACTATAATGTACAGTACAGTACCTTGTTCTATATACTGTACTGGTTCAGTTTTCTGTACTGTACACCATTTTGGTTCATTTGTACTTAGACCTCAGGGGTATGGAATTAGCCTTGGGCAGAACCTTAGTTCAATTAATGTTGAGAAAACTAAATCAGTTGTGAAGGCACTGGTTTATGTCCCTTTTGTCTATTCCTTTTCTGTCTACTCTGAAAATGTCACATATTCCCACAATGTCTAGTATCACTTAATGATCTCTGAAAGTTATTTTACCGGACCCAGAGAGTATTGTACAGAAGACCAAATGGGAATAGTGTACAATAATAGGAGTAAACAAACTGGGATGTTACCCAGACAAACTAAACCTCAAACTCAGCATCAATACCATTTCAGATTCCCTCATGAAACAGCATAAGAAAATACAAATGTGGGTCAGACTGTCTACTATTACTGTGGGTCAGACTGTCTACTATTACTGTGGGTCAGACTGTCTAACATAACTGTGGGGCAGACTTTCATATCTGGACAAGTTGGTAGCACCACTGTTTATGTTAAGCCTTGTATCTCCTTCACTATATTACACTTGAGGTTTGTTGTTCATATCTGTAGACAATTTTAACAATTTAATATTAAAGAGAAGTTTTCTTGTGATCACTCAAGCAGAGATAAACTTTCCAGTGATTCCAATACCCCTTCAAGAATTATGTGGAAAAAACTCACAGAAAAATGCTGTCATCTAGTTCATCCGAGTTGTCATCCGAGGACGGGTAATGATCACGCACTGTTCCGGTGTCTCCCCCCAACATGGGCAACTCCTCAACGTCGAGCAGTTGTTTATCAAAGGGATCATCATCATCACCATCCTGTGGATGTGTCAAAACTTGATACTGTTGAGAAGTGTTTTTCTCGACATCCTGTACAGAACTCTTAGGGGAAGTCTTCTCCTTTGTGCTGTCCTCACTGTAGAAAAACTCCTCATCTGAGATCTTATCCATTTTATAGTCATTACAACATTTAGTCACCTGGCAGGCATCGTGCACGGCTTGTTTAATATCTGAAAAAGTGTAGGTAATCTTCTCTTGTGCTGGTGACCTGATCTGAGGTCCCCACAGAAACTTACTGTCCATCCATGTTCCACTGTGTATCCAAGTCACAAGTGAGTTTATGTCTTGCATTAGTCTGAACCGCTGGACATTAGCAATCTGGAGGAAAAACAAAATATTAGTGAACAGTTTATGTACAGTCAAAATGGTAGAATTAAATGTATAAGAAAAGAACCCAGTACAGTAATTACAGCAACAACCTCAGACATATCACTACAGAATTCCTTTAACCACAAGATTAAACACGGGTGGAGGGGGGGGGGATAGGTTAGGTCTGGTTTTGTTAGTGTAGTTCTTGTTGGGTTAATTAGCATTAGGTTGGATTTGTTTTAGTTGAGTCCCAGCTCTTATCAAATGTGTCCAGTACTGTACCACTTTATTTCATTATCTACCAAGTATGTGTTCCTCAGCTGGTAGTAATAGATGTGTTCCTCAGCTGGTAGTAATAGATGTGTTCCTCAGCTGGTAGTAATAGATCTGTGTGTTCCTCAGCTGGTAGTAATAGATGTGTGTGTTCCTCAAGTATGTGTTCCTCAGCTGGTAGTAATAGATGTGTTCCTCAGCTGGTAGTAATAGATGTGTTCCTCAGCTGGTAGTAATAGATCTGTGTGTTCCTCAGCTGGTAGTAATAGATCTGTGTGTTCCTCAGCTGGTGGTAATAGATCTGTGTGTTCCTCAGCTGGTGGTAACAGATCTGTGTGTTCCTCAGCTGGTAGTAATAGATGTGTTCCTCAGCTGGTAGTAATAGATGTGTTCCTCAGCTGGTGGTAACAGATCTGTGTGTTCCTCAGCTACATACGACAAAGTAAATATAAGTAGTGCGTCTTGACCCACCTGATGAGGCACCCTGGCGCTGAAGGGAAGAACAACTGTGGCCACCTTGTTTGTGACTTGATTTGTAGTGAAGTAGTGCCCTGTAAGGTAGTGTAGGGCATACACCCAGTGGTCCCTGATTGGGGTGATGCTCTCAGCGTCTGGGTTACCGGGCACAAGGAACAGGAGGCGATCTGCTTTGTTCATATGTTCACTTGTCCAGCAGCTTGGGGCCTGGTTCAGGAAGTATAGTTGTTTTTTAGTTCTTCATTACATTAAATATACTGTAGCTTATTATTCTATAGCATCTATCACAAACAGTTGTTAATTAGTCCCTGACCTCACTACCCACAACTCAATACCCACATCACTCACCTCACTACCCACCTCACTACCCACATCACTCACCTTACTACCCACATCTGCATCTATCACAAATGGGTGGACATAACACACGTGCTTCAGGAAGTGTGCCAACTTGTTCACCAGGTCCAAGCAACGTTGATTTTCCGGCAGATATATCAAGAGGAGTGTTGGGGTGTTGTCCTTCGCCGTCAGCAGCAGCTCTGTAGGAAACATCACTTAACTTATTCATGTTCAATCAGTTTCCCATAAGGAGTGTACTGTATTAATACTGTAATGTAAGTTTTTTTTTTTTTACAGGATGAGCTTAAAAAAAGATCAATGGTGAGAAACATATGTATGTTGTGTTATCAATAGTAAGAGAAACAATTGAGGCAGAAAGGCAGATCATCAACCTGGGACTTGGTCACTTATGGCAGCTGGGTCTACCAATACATTATGCTTCCAATATCTTCCCAGGTGGTAGTACCTCCCTTAAGTGACAATAATATAGCACAATATTCACAAAACACCTTGAGTACAATGGCATATGGAGTTAGCAATGTACTTAAGAGATTAATAAAGAAAATGTTACTCAATAAGCTAATTTATTGTACTCGGTGATGACATTGTACTCAATAGATTAATGTATTAATCTATCCTGTAGAGTACTGTACTCAACAAACCACTCACAACATACAGTACTTACTCTTATTCTGCTTCAGGCGGTGTTGTAGGGTGAAGGTAAATGCAAAGGTGAAAATCAGCAAGAACCCGAATCCAACACAAATCCATAATCCTAACTTGCTCTGTGGAACACCTGTCGGGGGAAGGCACGTGTCATACTATATAAAGTAGGTCCTACAAACTGTACTGTACTATATAAATTAATGTCCTACTGGCATTATATTAAACACATTAAGTCATACTGTAAAAGCCTTATACTGTATCAAGTAAGTCCATCAAATGTCTATATTCATGTCTTATATTTCTGTATAGACCACAGTACAATACAGTACAGTACAGTGCACAGTACAGTACAGTGTACAGTACAGTATAGTGTACAGTACAGTACACTATAATGGTTCTTACCTGTATGGCCGGCCACACACCACCACCTGGAAATATATAGAAGACAAATGTGGCCAGATGTGGACATGAATGTGGACATTAGTGTGGCCAGATGTGGACTTTGTGTGGCCAGAACAGGTAACCATCAGCTTGCAGTTTAGGGTTAAAGCCTTGCCCTTAAGCTAAGAGGAAACTTACTGAACGGTGGAGACATGGCCACAGCACACCCATCAGGGCACTCAGAGGAGAGGATCTGAGCCGTCACAGCATAGGTGCCGGGGTTGTGCCACAGCTGTAGGAGCTTTGTTTCTAGGATGTCCTCATCAGATGATATACTATAGAAATGAATACAATATAATACTATCTATCTATCTATTAATAAACACTTGGTCATATTTACTGACAAAATCAATGATTATATATATATATATATATTAAGGTCACAAACACCAAGTACAGTACAGTCATTACTTATATGATCTGGAAGACTTCAAAAAACAAAGGAATGTGAACAAAACCCAATTTTTGTGTTCCACAAGTATAACCATCACCCCTTCAGTACTGGGAAGCTACTGGGCTGGGCTGGGTTGGGTCAGGTCAGGTAAGATTGTCTTATAAATAAACAACCTGGGGTGTCTAATTCCCATGAAGAAACACAAGTCTTACTTTTCAGGTGCATGGAATTTGTGAGAAGCGAGGACGGTCCTTTGAGAGCAGGAGACACCACCATCATCATCCACACACTTGACGAGGGAGATGTTGTACGAGACATTATAAAACGGTGCCAACTGGATGGTGACAGGCAGGTGCGGGGACCGTCCGATGTGGTTGTCATGTAAGTAGAAAAACACTTGCCAGTCTTGAAGCCTTGTCTTCCAAGGATCTGTGGATGTGATCAGGATGTGTGTGTGTGAAGATCTGGTACTTCTTATGTTGAGAGATAATTAAGTCATGGGTGGTGTTGGAGGCTTAATGTGTAGTACAGTACTATACTGTACAACTAACACACACACACTCTGTCTCATATGAGAAACAAGTTAGTATTCATCATATAGTTTAGATATAACACATTGGTCTCACCCACTTATGAAAACAAAAACTAAATCAAAACACAAATGCTGGACTCTGTAACACCAAAATTAATCATGAATTACACTAATCACTTTCTAATACAAAAGGAAGTGCGGTGGTTTGATCCTTGGGTGCTCCCAGTTCATCCAGCTGTAAATGGGTACTTAAGTTTACAACTTGGGAAGTGAATGTGGTCGAGTGCAGTACCTCCTAGTGTACGAAGGTTTAGTATACAGTGTGCTGTATCCACACTGTCCCCAATGCACTGGCCTATGGGACCCACTTTCACCTTTTTTTAATACAAAAAAGTAAAAAATACTGTGGATGCTCACAAGTGAAAAATTAGGTAAAACAAGAGAAAATATTTTTAAAAATCTGTGGTGACGGAGCTATAACCACGGAGCAAAATGGTGGGGACAGTAAACACAGATAGCAGGGTATTTGTCTACTGTGGGTGCCACTGTTTGAGTGGGCACAGCATATCCACCACCTCCGCCGACTCAAGTCCCTCGGAGTTCCTACACCCGAGCTCCTCAGTGTTTACACAACATTCATACTTCCCAAGCTCACCTATGCCTCCCCCACCTGGTCTTCCTCCCTAAATGCCACACAACGTAAACACCTAGAAAAAGTGCAAAAGAGGGCATGCAAGATTATTCTCTCCCCTTCCTACTCCACATATCAAGAAGCGCTCAACACACTGACCCTTTCGACTCTCACTGACCATCACCACGACCTCATCTGCAAATTTGGTAAGAAGCTTCTACACCATCCTCGACACCGGCTCCTACTACCACCTGAGATCCCTAGTCCGAGAATTGCTGTTCGACACCACAACCGCATCCAGCCCATACGTGCACGAACTGATCGCTATAAGAACAGCCCAGTCCCAACCATTGTAAAAATTATCAATAACTTGTAATAAACCAGTGTATTCACTCCCAGTAAACACTACTCCTTGCACTGTCACTATGTTGAAATGAACTGTAGTTTGAGGTTTTCCCCATCTAGTTATTATATATCTTATTTGTATCACTTATGTTACTTGTATATTATTTGTAATTCGAAACCCAATCCCCAAATATGTAACTGTATATTTTCAGCCTTCTGGCTGCCAAGCTCTTTCAATAAACCGTTAATTATTATTATTATTATTAAGATCATTTTTGCCTTAAACCCAGCCAGCACTACGGCCCCTGGGGAACAAGAAGTCAAGCAAGAGATAAATCACAAAAGATGGCAACAGAGATGAAGAAGATTAATAATGGTAAAACAACTACCGGGTACTGTGTTGTACAGTGAATGGATCAAGCATCAAGGGTTGTTGGTGGTGCCTATCTCTCACTACTGTGTCCTGGGTTCAATCCCTGGCCTAGGAAAGATGTGAGAAGGGTGTTTTCTAGTATGACACTACCAAACATGGCAGGTTTTCTCTGGGTACTACAGTTTCCTCCTGTACTGAACTAACACTGGACAATATAGACCATAACAAAGTAACAAGGAACAGATCAACTGGCCAACGACCAGTAAACTGATAACTGGTGAAATGATAAATTAATGCCTGGTGTGTTTATATAGTACAGTGTTGAAAATTCTGTAACAATTTATAAAACATATTACAGTCAGTCCTCAACTTAGGACGGAGTTAGGGACCCACGACCAAGTCGTAAGTAGAAAATGCGAAAGTAATACATAGAAAATCTAAAATGGGTGTCTCTTTTTCTTCTCAGCACCACGAGAACTCTTACTTTTACGCCTGCCAGCCATTCTAAAGGGAATTACAAACAAAAATTTTGTCAGTACACAGCGCGATCACTACGTCGGGACTCAAAAATATTTTATACGACTGCTGCGGTCGTATGTCTGGGTGGTCGTAAGTCGAGGAGTACCTGTACTGTACTACCTTTTAATATAATGTGGGAATGGGAAAGACGAGTGTGTGTACCTCTCGTGGAGAAGTACCCTCCCAACCTCTCTGGGGTTACATAAAAGTGAACAATGTTTGTTTAAACAGAACATTATTCATATTTGTCTATATCGTTTGTAAATACTGTAACTGTAGTGTACAACAGGGCAGTTAACTGTACAGTTCATTACATAAATCTGACCTGGGTGTAATGTCTTCTAATATGTTAACAATAAGACATCTGGTGGAGAGATTGGGATCCATCACATTATGTTCCATTGAAACAATAGTCTTCACTAATGCCACAGTTCTCCAGGAACACATTTGTGTTAGTCTGTATGAAGGACCACAAACTGTGGCTAAATCTTTACTCACCTATCTTGTCTGCCGTGGAAGTTTTGAAGGAATAAGTGCCGCCTTTCCCTTCGTCGGTGATGACAGTCAGTCTTATCTGTCGTGCTGCTGAACCAACAAAGACCGGACAGTCCCAAAAGATCTCGTCACTCAGGGGAATGCTGACGTTAGCCAGGGTGAATTTACGGCACAGAGGTTTACTATTCCCGTCGTCCAGGTCTTGGTACCGAAACTTGAGAACTGAAAGATGAAATAATGTTTGTCCCCACAAAATCCCAACAGCAATGTTAGTAATTGAATCACCTATAGTTAGTTAATAGGGTGATACATTATGGTGTTAACACCTTCTCTATGGACTCTTCTCTGTGATGAATAAAATAGTCCAGCATTAGCCTCATAAAATAAATTAAAATGGCATCCCCAGAGTGAAGGGGTTAGAGTAACAGATGCATCTGGTGCAAAATAAGGACATTCAAGTGTTAATTTGCCTTCTGTGGTAAAGTAAAGATGAAGGAACAAGTTAGGTCATCACCTCATGTCTTTTTTATTATTTATTCTTAATTCTTGATCTTTCTCTCTTCTGCACGTGTTCCTTGTCATGTTTACATGGCACTAATGTACCCAAACTATCTTTAAGTGTTGGGTTCATGGCCAACCTGTGCACTACACTTACATGGAGGCCATATAGGGGAGGTGGTATCTGTAGGCCATGTAGGGGAGGCAGTGTCTGTAGGCCATGTAGGGGAGGCAGTGTCTGCCAGCACACTTCTGGGCCACACAGTCAAAGGCACTTGCCCACACTGCCCAGCTTCTTAACTTGTAATTTGTTAAGTAAGTCTATATGATAACACCAGCACACATTATACTGTACAGTACCATGAGTGAGTGAAGGATGCCTCATTCTTATTACACCAAACACTTCTCTCACTCTCCTGTGTTCAAAACTATAATATATGAATGGAACTACAGTACTGTACTGTACTATACTATAGTTTAAAACTGTTTCACTGTTGGTAAATACCTAATAAATATTATACAGTACATCTCCCTTGTGTGCGTACATCCAGGGCTGTTTATCAATTCAGTTGCCTCATTGTACATTATTATTGTCATCAACTCACCGTTCCATCCGGCCGAAGGAAAAGTAATGTTGAACACCGTCCTTGATGTAGTCCAGTCATGGTAATAATACCTTTTTACCTTGACCAACAAGTCATCTTTGCTTGGTGGGTATGACGGGGCCTCCATATAACACTCTGCAAAAAAATCTTCAATTATCACGGCTTTTATGGCAAACCAAGCCAAGCCAAACTACTTAGGGTAATAATAAACCTTTAATAATAGTCAATGTGACATTAGTTTTCTTATTCTGACAACAGACAACCCAAAACAAAGCCTCAGAGTAATAACATTAGGCATCAAGACCCTAAAATTGTTTGTCTATATTCTGGAACAGTAATACAGTACAGTACAGTATTTACCCCACAAGACCACACTAAAGTTTAAAGCCTCATACTGTACTGACCTGTGATTTCAGGTTCAACCTTCAAGACACAAATGCAATTATGCACAACACTTTTCTCTCACTCAACAGCCACCCACCTACGGCTCCCAAGACAACTGTCCACAAACACAACCGTCTAGAAACCTCCTCTACAGAGCAATGTGTTGGGCTCAATGTTGTAATTGTTTCTTTCATAAATGATATGCAAGATGCTATTCATTCTTTCATACAATGTCTGGGGACGACACCAAGTTATTCAGGTAAATTATGAACCAAACAGACTGTGAAGTGCTACAGGAAAATCTCTCTCAGCTTCTGGAGTGATTAAAGGAATGAAGAGACCATATGTGAAGAGGACCTGTGTGTGTGTGCTGACAATGAACTTAAGTTCTTGGGCTATTGTGAGAAGAAGGTGAATCAAGCAACTAAACTACTAGATATTATAAGAAGGTTGTTCAGTTATCTAGACTGTCTGCCCCTCGTAACGATCTTCAAGTAAGTTGCTACACCGACTGGAGCTCTATCACCTCGTCTGATCCCCGACACATGCTACAGACTGTCCAAAGGAAATCCACCAGATTGGTGCCTGTGCCACGGCCCCCAGTTACTAAGAGAGATTAGAATGCTTGCAACTGCCTAGCTTATACTATAGATGGGCAAGGAGTGACCTAATTGAAGGGTCTAAACATCTCAAAGGGCATTACTCAGTCGAATGTACAATACATACCTAGAGCTGGCGGACGCTCGCCCCACAAGGGGTCACAGCTCAAGGTTGAAGAAGCCACAAGTCCAGAAAACTATGAGGGCAAACTTTTTCGGAGCGGGAGTTGTTAACTCTTGGAACAATCTGCCAGTGTTGTGACGGCACCGAGTGTGAGCTCTTTCAAGACCAGACTTGACCAACACTGGAGCAGGTTCAGGTACATTCAGGAGCCGGTGCCTGCCCAGTACTTACCAACGGTGCATAACAGACCAGCCACACAGATAGAGAACTAACCCGAGGCAAAAAAGATAGACTAAAGTGTATGTATACTAAATGCTGAACCAATTGTAAACTTGTCTGATGATTTTACTGATTAAATATGCAATTTACTGTATCTACTCTAACTGATGAACATGAACTACACACACAGAAACAACTGAGAACATTAAACCAACCTTCAGAAATGCGTTGCACCTCACAACTTGCATCTTCACTCTCCTCCGTCCTCAGCTGAAAAAATAACCACAACATTAGAGGTTATTGCTACTGTACTGTACAGTGTTAGGGGGATCTCTCACACTGTGTCCTGGGTTCAATCTCTGGCCCAGGACAGATGTGAGAAGGATGTTATCACTACCAAACATGTCAGGTTTACTACAGTTTCCTCCTGTACTGTACTAACACTGGACATTAAAGGTAACAGACCAACCGCCAGTATGGGTAGTAAACAGATAATTGGTGGTCATATTAAATGTGAATAACAAAGTGGCAGGTGTCCTCTAGCCATCCCAGCTTATTTCACCGGAAAAGTTTTACTTGAGGACATGAGTCCCTACGGGTTGACCAATATGTTTTTACAGTGTATTTTGGTGTTTTAAATGAATCTGACCTTCATTTTGGGCGGATATTGCTCGTTTTGCCCCCCCCCCCCCAACAATAATGGGGGAGAGCCTGGGAAATCGGGGTTTTGGGATGGGGGAGAAAATATGCTATCTAACCTAACCTCTAGCTGGGGACTCCGCCCCCGGACCCCTGGTAGGCCTAGCTTAAGCTAACCTAAATGTTTCAGTAGCTTAAAACTTTGAGGCGCACCATGTCCGAAAGTACAATACCTTAGTTAGAAGTGGAAGGACCAGGGATACGTAAGAATTGGATAGAATGATCGTCTTTCTCGTAAAACTCGACAATAAACTTAAAATAATCGTAGGAGCACAAATGACAACCAACGTCTACCATGGCCATTGTGAGACTGGTCAATGAAATTACTCCGGCTGCTTCCTTTGAGAAAAATCAATACATCATTGGTCACGACTGGATGACGTCAGTCAACATTGTGCATGAGTGATGAGCCGGTAACCTCTCCTCACAGACGAAGACTGAAAACTAAGTAAAGTCAATTAAATTCAATTGTGTCGCTATTATCCATTTTCGCCAGGTATATATGGGGTTCAAAATGCTCATAATAGCTAGATCTAAAAGTTTCATTAGTTTATAGCTTTAGGGCATGCTAAAGTAAAGTAATACCATTTCACCTTAAGATTACTAACCTAACAGTTTAACCTAATCTAATATAACTTAACACAATCTAACTTTATCTAACCTAACTTAATATAACCGAACCTAATATAACCTAACACAACTCGGCCAAATCTAACCTAAGCTAAAATAAACTACTATGATTTAACTTAATCTACCTAGGGGAATAGGTTAAGTTAATATTATGGTAATAAATCAAGCTATGGCGGGCAATCTTCAGGTCACAACACAATGCATCAATATTTAACACCAGGAAATAAAGTGGTAACCCCCAACAAATTTTTCCTCACTAGCAAATAGGAAAGAAAAAAAAATAAAAATTTACTATTAGAAAAAACCACTCATTTAATATCTACCTATTTATTTAACTAATTTATCTACCTATCCATCAATTAAAAACAGTGCAGTGACAGAAATCTACCCTGCGGTACTCCACTACACCTAGACAACACTAATGACTACATCACTATACAACATATTTTCAGATAATATTCTCAGGTAAACTTAGATAATTGAGCAAGACCCACCTGGTGTGTACAGGACATAGTGTGCTCTGACTTCTTACAGGCAGGGCAGCAGAGATGGGACTGATTATGGTTACAGAAGTCTATTTGACCACAGACACTAGCCTGTAATACAGCTCTAGAATATAATATACACAAATATATATTTAAAATAAGTAATAAATATTTAACTGTGGCCATTCTGTTGAGAGGATAATTAACTAGATGAGAGTATAGAAGAATTCACAGCCACATCTTCCTCCACCCAACAGTAAGACTATACTACTGAACTAACGATCAGAGTTGCCAGATACTTGTGACCAAAAGTAGAAGCTCTGAGAGGATGTGTGCGACTTAGACAAATATTTGGTGATAGGTTCTTTACTTTCTTTTAATGTTTTAACAGTACAAAATGGAAGTAGCCCAATCATCTGAAAATAAGGCCAAATATAATTTATAGCCCAAAAAGTAGCAAGTAGCGGGTATTTAATTTTAGTAGCGGACACCTCCAAAAAAGTAGCCTAATCCGCTACTTTTTGCCCAATGTTGCCAATCAAAAAATATAAAATTACCAAGGTGACCCGACCAAAAATCCCTTGATCTAATTAGTTTCTATAACACATGATACTAATAGTTTTATAATTACATATAGGAAAAAAAACACTCGTGTAAGATTGATTGCAATACTACGTGCTTCCTTTATTAAGTATATATAATGCTTAACCTTTAACAGATGGTGTACAATATTTTACCTCTCCCACCCCCTTCCCATATCCTTTCACTGCCCCACTCAACCCCTCCCCACCCCTCCCTCCCCCTTTTAACCCCTCCCCCCTCCCTCCCCCTTTTAACCCCCCCCAACTCCCTCTGCCCTTCATAGCTCCTCTGAACCCCTCCCCTCCTATCACCCCCACCTTCCACTTCCTCCGCCCCCACCAAACAACCATGAACCATTACGTGGTGCCAATAATAATGAGCCTGTTACTGGGTGCTGCGTGGCGGACGTGCTCAAGGGCATTACACGCTTTATGTTTAATAATAAGATCTGTATCCTCTCAAATAGTTTAAGCAGATGATTGAGCAGCGTGTTGTTGGTCAGTGTAAGCACGAGGTCATGTTGGCGTTACTAACTTGCCACATGTGTCTGTGTCCTAACCTAATTCTGGCCAAGATTACATCATATTGTCTGGTTCTGTCCTTATGCTGGCCATACCGGTACCTCTTGTCACAAAATTTGTCATATTTACTAATGCTACAACTGCCAGATCTTTCAGCATTTCTCAGTTCTTTTAGATCAGAGTTCATGATTCTGACTTGAATGCTTTTAAGTACACCATTGGACAGGCCAAGGTCACGGTCAACATTTTCTTTCTTACATGCCTCATTGGCCAGTCAATCAGCACAGTCATGATACCTTGTAGTGGATTCCTCCCCTACAAACGCTTGTCGCTGAGTAGTCGACCCCGCGAATTCCCCAGTGTATGCCTTGTGGTCTAGGTCAACCAGCGCCGCCTTACATGACGGAGGTCAACTATTAAGCCACGCCTACCTCCGCTATATAAGACCTGACCTCGTGGTGACCTAGCCCTTCTTCTAGCTACAGCCGCAGCAAGCAGCACCTCCTCCTCCACTCCTGCCTGGCGGCCCTCGCTCCCGCTGGCGAGCATGGCGACCCACAAGCTGGTCCTCCTCTGAGCACCCTCACCAACCAGCTCTCTCTACATCACGCAGTATAGCGGGGCGGGGAGAACAAGGTGTGGCGGGGCGGGAAGAACAAAGTGTGGTGGGGCGGGGAGAACAAAGTGTGGTGGGGCGGGGAGAACAAGGTGTGGCAGGGAGAACAAGGTGTGGCGGGGCGGGAATGGTGGTAAGGAGGATAGAGTGAGTCAGCACATTACTGCCTCGTCACTCGTCATTAATCACAAGACAGTGAAGTAAGAATTAATGTGATTATATTGAGGTGAGTGTTGCCTGTTGTCTGTAAGTGTTGCTGCCTATTTGCCTATATGGTGTTGCCCTGTTGCCTGTAAGTGTTGCCTGTTGTCTATAAGTGTTGCCTGTTGTCTGTAAAGGTGTTGCCTGTTGTCTATGAAGTGACACACTCTTTGTCTATAAGTGTTGCCTGTGTGCCTGTAAGTGTTGCCTGTTGTCTGTAAGTGTTACCCTGTTGTCTGTAAGTGTTTACCTATTTTGTCTGTAAGTGTTGCCTGTTGCCTGTAAGTGTTGCCTGTTGCCTGTAAGTGTTGCCTGTGAGTGTTGCCTGTTGTCTGTAAGTGTTGCCTGTAAGTGTTGCCTGTTGTCTGTAAGTGTTGTCTGTAAGTGTTGCCTGTTGTCTGTAAGTGTTGCCTGTTGCCTGTTGTCTGTAAGTGTTGCCTGTAAGTGTTGCCTGTGAGTGTTACATAAATACATACATGCTGTACATATATACATACTGTACAATACACCAGGATGTAGCCAGATATCTCTACACATCCGGCTTTTATCACTCCACTCCCTCAGGAAATAGTATTAAAATAATATTATTTATTTCTGGAGAGTTTGTGTACATAATTTACTTTACTTTTATCCTCCCCACCACTAATTAGCTCGTTAGTCGCTTGGGCGATTGGTCACGTCTCTGTTACACGCTGTTGGCTAGGACTGGGCATGCACCGGCTCCTGACTGTACCTGAACCTGCTCCAGTGTTGGTCAAGTCTGGTCTTGAAAGAGCTCACACTCGGTGCCGTCACAACACTCTCTGGCAGATTGTTCCAAGAGTTTACAACCCTCACTCTGAAAAAATTTGCCCTCACAGTTTTTTGGACCTGCGGCTTCTTCAACCTTGAGCTGTGACCCCTTGTGGGGCGAGCGTCCGCCAGCTCCAGATAAGGACACTGGACCGAGTAGTGGCCCCTGAGATACTTAACGGGGTGGTGTGGCGGTAAAATGAACTAATTCCAATAAAACTAATTTATAATATTGGAATTAGTTAATTTTACCGCTACACCACCCCGTTAAGTACTGTACTGCGGTGTCCCTCAGGACTCATTTAGTTTAAAACTCGGGTTGAAACACGAAGATCCTCTTCAAGGGAAGATGTTGTTCAATAATAAGGGCGTTTTAAGACTCGAGGGAGTGCAAATTAAGATGCTTTAACCTGTCTCTGTACTCAGGGTTCCTAATGCCCGGGATTAGTCTTGTCATTCTCCTCTGAATTCTTTCCAAGGATTCTATATCCATTCTGTAATACGGTGACCAGAATTGAACTGCATAATCCAAGTGAGGTCTCACAAACGCAATATATATATAATCTTAAGATGACCTCGTCTTGTTTCGAGCAAAAACACATTGTTTACTTGGCTTAAGATTCCTACTTATCAACTGTGAGGGCAAACTTTTTCGGAGTGAGAGTTGTAAACTCTTGGAACAATCTGCCAGAGTGTTGTGACGGCACCGAGTGTGAGCTCTTTCAAGAGAAGACTTGACCAACACTGGAGCGGGTTCAGGTACATTCAGGAGCCAGTACATGCCCAGTACTTGCCAACAGTGCGTAACAGAGACGTGACCGATCGCCCGAGCAGCTAATGAGCGGCGACTTGAAGGTTATAGCCCTTCTACTCTGCCTTCAAGGAAGGTTCACGAAATATTGCTGTTTTCTGTGTTTATGGGACAACAGAGCAACAGAAAAACACTACAACACAAAGGACTGGCTAAAGAGAGAAGAAATAAAATAACAAATGCCCAAACAGTGGCTACTTTAATACTTCTTGTGTCTTCTTATGATTGCTTCCATTCTTTATTGAATTTTAGTGATGACGTGGAAAAGGGTAACAGGAATAAAAAGAACAATAGTATTTTTCAGTTTTTCTATTTGTAAGATTTAATTTTTTGTATAACAAATAAACTGTACGGACCAGAGAATTTTTATTGCCAGGTTTGAAATCAGCAGCTAAATATTACCTAAAGGAGGCTGCTCTGAACCATGCTACGGAATTGCTTTTTTCTAATTTGTCGCCTAGTGTAATCTGTAACGTAAAATTAATTGGCAAAAATTTACTAAAGTTCCATTATGTGAACATTTTGTTACTAAATTTTCTATATCTTTGCAATTAATAGTTCAGACTATTCTAGCACACTTCTTCTATATGACGTTTCCCTCGCAAATGACTTATATTATTATTATTGTTATTGTTATTGTTATGGTAACACCTTTAAACTCATTCAAAGTTATTTAATTCCCGTAATTAATCTCATTCAAAGTCCCGCTATTTAAAGTCATTCATGAAACTGTATATTTATGTCCGTTTTCTCTGATGCGATAAAAGAAAACAAAACTATTTTATTGGGAGACTTATTTAATTTTTTTATGGTCGTAAGCTATGGCAATTATTTGACTTTAGTGTACTTTATGTTATTTTATCCTCTTCGTCACTGATCGAACTGCTTTTCACTTGGGATGTCGACCACGTCTCTGTTGGCTCTGTGGGGATACACTGGGTCTCTGTTGGCTCTGTGGGGATACACTGGGTCTCAGTTGGCTCTGTGGGGATACACTGGGTCTCTGTTGGCTCTGTGGGGATACACTGGGTCTCTGTTGGCTCTGTGGGGATACACTGGGTCTCTGTTGGCTCTGTGGGGATACACTGGGTCTCTGTTGGCTCTGTGGGGATACACTGGGTCTCTGTTACGCACTGTTGAGAAGTGTGGGCGTCCGCCGGATTTTTTACAGGTATATAGATCCATACGAAAGAATGATAAAGTATAATTGAATTACTTTCGAGTACTGTATGATCAGAAATATCACATATTAATGTTATCACCAAATTATAAATCACTGAAATTATCATAGGACTAACCAAGGGAAATAATTAATTTGGCATCATTAATCCTGATAATCTAGGTTATTGTTTTTATCCTCTTCACCACTGATCGGCTTGTTAGCCGCTTGGGCGATCGGTCACGTCTCTGTCACGCACTGTTGGCAAGTACTGGGCATGCCCCGGCTCCTGAATGTACCTGAACCCGCTCCAGTGTTGGTCAAGTCTTGTCTTGAAAGAGCTCACACTCGGTGCCGTCTAACACTCTCTGGTAGATTGTTCCAAGAGTTTACAACCCTCACTCCGAAAAAGTTTGCCCTCACAGTTTTCTGGACTTGCGGCTTCTTCAATCTTGAGCTGTGACCCCTTGTGGGGCGAGCGTCCGCCAGCTCCAAGTAAGGACACTCAACTGAGTAGTGCCCCCTGAGATGCTTATACACCTCAACTAGGTCCCCCCCTTGCCCGTCTGTAGTATAAGCAAGGCAAGTTCAGGCGCTCCAATCTCTCAGGGTAGCTGAGGTGCCGAAGTGCAGGCACCAGTCTGGATGGTTGTGTGGCCTGTATGGTTGAGTGGCCTGTATGGTTGAGTGGCCTGTATGGTTGTGTCACCTG